CTATGTATACGCGCGTGTGTACGCATATACATATATTGATGAAATTTCCTTCTTATAAGAGTTTTATACCTACAAATGTACCTGTATTATACCTGTTCTTTTTTTCTTTCTTAATTCTTTAATTTTGAATAAGTGAAACAAAATTTTTAGACGAAATTCATTGTAATTTCAACCTAATGAATTCTACTAAGCTTTGCAATACAGTAATTATATTGCATAATAAACATATGTCACCAATGGTCTTGTAAATAATGTGGAAAAGCATAGTAATTTTTGCCAGTTAAAAGGAACAGTATCATTTATTTTCTCAATGATTTTCATCAATTATCATTATATTATTATGCTCAAGCTTAGTTATTCTGTTAATCTTTTTTCTGTAATTTTATGTAACGTTCTGTGCTTCTTATTTTATGTTATTTTCTTCAACGTTTGTTATTCCAGTGAAAGGATGATATTTATTTTTTACATTTAATATTTTTCGCGTTCAAGCAATATACGCTGTATCATCAATCGACACGCCTATACCTTCTTCTCTTACATACTCACATACAATTTGTATTTTCTCTAATTTTCTTAAAATAGATCGTAGCACCTCAGGTAGGACTAAGTGTGCATAATATTCATTATATTCATGCAAATCAACAGTCTTCCTATTTATGCCGTCTTTCCATTAAATCATTGAAACTTTTTTTTTTATAGCTTTCCAATAAAATACTCGTATATACTTATATATATAAATTGTAGAATTTTTCTATAAAAATCTTAAATAAAATAATTTATTAAATTTGTACAGATTTAATACACATAATTTACACAGTTAAAAAAAATGTATTTTATAATAATTATCTTATTAAAATCGATACTATGTGCATCATACGTAATATTTATTAAAGTATTGTTTATATAATACTGAAGTAGATTTTCAATTAGAGAAATTTGGATTTGAGCTTAATTTTGGTTGAATTTGGTAGTTTAAAAATTGTTACTTATAAATAGTCATTTTGTCTCTACCATATTTTTTGTTATACTTCTTATATATTATAGCAAATATGTCTCTTGCAATATCAAATATTTAAAAAAATTTAATTTTTTCGCATTGAATATTAAAAATGAAATGGAACTGCTTACATTCGTTTTATTTTTCTTTTGTTTTTTTGTTTGTTTTTTGTTTTCTCTATGAATTATATTCTTTTATTTCGAATACTAGAATACACGTAACTAAATAAATGATTAAGACATATTGGTAATAAATTATAATTTGTGATTCGTTAGTTTCTTTAACAAAAACATATTTTGTTTAACAAAAATACGGCAAAATTAAAATGAAAAAAACGAGCATTCACTAGTAACAAATTTCATTCATACATGAATAGGGTGATATACGTAAGCGTATGTCGATAGGTGGTACTATTTGCACATACGTGTGTATATATAGATATATGTGTGTGTGTGTGTGTGTGTGTGTGCGCGCGCGCGCGCGCGTGTGTGTGTGTACACCCATTTGCAGTATACTTTTAACGCATGCAGAATGCGCATACGTCGCATATCTACATCAAAGCATCGATTTAACCTACTTATAAATTACAAATCGCAACGCAGTTCATCGAAACAAAAAAGGAAAAACATTCATCATTCATACACATCACATCCTTCCAAACTTTCATAATTTTCTCATTTCATTTCGCCTGTGCACGTTCTTATTATTAATTTTCGCAATTTATAACTTTATTTACGATTTTACCTCTTATTATTGTTTATGCTTTTACTTTATATTTATATCACTCTATAACAAATGCGTTTTAATAATTATTAATAATACAATTCAAATAGCCTATGTTCCCAAATTGCACTTCCCACAACGACAAATTTCATTTCCCCTACGGACAAGTTTCTGTTTGTATGTGTGTGTGTGTGTGTGTGTATGTGTGTGTGTTTGTGTGTGTGTGTGTGTGAGCGTGCATATACGAACAGATTATTTTCATAAAATATTATCAAATAATCTGCTATAATAATAGCAGTACATTGACATATATGTTAATTATAAAATTAATGTTAAAATTTTTCTTTTAATCATACGACTTAGTCAAGCCAAGTAAACAAAATTTAATTTCAATATCAAGTTTTATGTTAATTGTAACCACGATTTTATAAGAAATTTTCCGTATTTTTATGTGCTCTATATTTATCACTTATTATTTGTATATTAGCGCATTCAGATTTTTAAATAAGCTTTAATTTGGTTTGTATTTTATTTTAATGTTGCCTGCTTATGTCGAATATATATACACAAGGTAGTATTTAAATATCATGACTGACTGTGATGACTCTGTAAGAGGTTTGCGTCGAAAATACTCTTCCTTTTATTACGCGGGACAAAACGAATTAAAGTACAATTTGATGTATCTAACACTTACTTTATTACTTATTTTAGTTTAAAGTATTGTGGGATCCTCGTTCTCTCACATTTGTACACACATGCGAAACAATTATTCTATTAATATACTTGTATAATAGATGTTTTATTGTTTTTACAAGTATGCGTCTGCTTATGTAGATTGGTGAATACAAGTAAAGGGTCTCGTATACGAGATATTAGTAAACTACTCTGCACTTAGGTACACGCATATGTGAGTTTTGTGCTGATGTACATAATGTTGATTTTTATTCATAAATTTTGTGTCCATTGTGCAAAAGAACTTTTAGGCCATTCTACGGTCTGCCATGTACCGTAAAGAAGACGAATACAATTATTCAAGTGTCAAAATATATTTTAAGCAAATGATTTGAAACAAATTTAAACAATGACCTTTGTTTAGAATAAATATTATGGATTATAAATCATTTTGGTATTAATATTTTTAACACTTGAATGACATATCTTTCTCTTTCTATATATTTATAAGTGATCCTTTGAGTATAATTATATTCTGCAATATGATCGCGTTTACAAATTTTTTTGTGCTTTATGCTGTTATATCTTTCTATATAATTGCGTATTCGCTTAAAATATTACAATCTTTTAGTTTTCTGCTCGCATTGCATATATCGTCCACATGCTTTATTCCTTTTTAAATAGTTAATACATAATTGAGATATTTTAAATGTATTTCAGAATACATTGAAAACTAAAAATAATGAAATTCATTATTCAAAATTTACATGTTTTATTATTGAAATGCTTATGTCACTTAAAGTGAATATCATTTCTTCAATTAAAAATGATGATTTTTAAGTATTACAGAAAAATATTTATTATAACAAATATTCTTGTGCTACCCGTTTGACATGTATAATTTGTGTTACAAAGGACACAATTGCATTTAGAGTATTTTATCGTTCATTATTGTATTCATCGACTAGACTCGATTTTGACTATCCTTAGCATATTTGGTAAGTTGTCACTGCATATAGCAATTGGTGTAATAAGTGGCAGTTTTCGGCATTTTATCCATTATATGTTTATCAACGAATGAATCGAGATGTCCGTTGTTATTTTTCAGTTCTATGGATTGTTCCATCCATATTATTGTTTTAATAAGAATTGAAGCGATTGTATCTTCAATTAAAATTTCACATTGAATACATAAATAAAAATTTTTAAAAGGCAAATAATAATATTAATTATCAAATTTATTGTATAATATAAAAATTACGTGAAAGCAAATATTTATTTTATTACTTTCAGAATGACTTTAATATTGCTACTAATTACAGTATTACAATAAAATAATTTCAGTGACAATGCTTATATGAAGTATCCACTAAAAATTTGCACTCTTACGCTCATTGGTGTTAAATGTTTTATAGAGCACTCGCAGATCGTTATCAAAGACAATTCGATTGTAATTTATATAAATATTAATAATTATAAGTAACAGAAGTACAATTTGATAATTAAGCTTGATAAAATATGTAGAAATAAGTTAGTGATTCAAAATGATTGAGAGGTTGAGAGAAAAGGAAGTATGATGGCATAATACAGAAATCATTAATTATACAATAAACATTGACGATGTTCCTTTGGCAGGAGTAAAAATCAAAAAGGGCATTTGCAAATTGAATTAGAAAGTTTTTTTGACTTTTTCTATCATTGTTATCAAGAGACGCCACAAAGTCTAGCATATTTAACAAAGTATTCGTTCTGTTATTCTGTTTTTTCATTATTTACTTTTTTTTTTATATCTTTATGTAATACAAACATGTGTAAATATGTAAAGAATATATAAGATACCCTCATATCGGATGACTCATGTGTTTGCATTCAAGATTTTAAACACTCAACAATTATAGGAAACTGTTTTAAAAAAATAAGCAAATTGATTATCGTTGGTGAAAAATAATTTCATACTTAAAGTCGTGTTTAATTTTCATTATAAATTATTTATAATTTTACTCGATCTAAATTATTTAGCCTCATAAGTAGAAGTGTTTGACTACAAATGGAAACCATCGTGTTTTCATATAAAACGATGGATCATCACTTTATTTCATTTAAAGTTTACATGAACATTAAATTTGAGGTTTGTCTGGAATGTCATAAGACACCAATAGATAATATTTCAGTTTCGTCATTAATAAAATTTTTTTGGCAATTTTATCGATGAATATTTTATTAAAATATTATGAAAAACACGTAATTTATCTAAATTTTTATTTGAATATTATTCATTCGGTTTCAATATAATGAGCTCTTTTAAATTGTAATTGAAAATATAAAATACGTACATAATTGTACTTTCACATGTATTTAAAGTCATGAATTTTTAAATAAAAATTTCTCTATGCCTCTTATCGGGTAATTGATATAATTAGATGCGTTTATTAAAAAGGTAGAATGATAGAAGAGCGATAACACTATAAAATCACCCTTCAATCTTCCTCTTCTCTCTTCCTCCTTGTCTACCTTACGGAAACTCTTATTAAAAATGTGATTTCCTTTAAATCTTTTATTCCGCCTTATATTTGTCAATTTAAAATTCTTTTTCTAAAGTCTCTTTCGCAATAAATATAATACATATATGTCATATGATTTTTTACACTTTTTATTGTTTTTTGCATTTTGGTATTTCTTGACATGTATATGCCCGTGTCAATTTGTCTGACATCAGAATATATGCCGCTGAAGATATATCCAACTAAAAAAAGAAATGAATAAAATATAATTTACAGCTACCTTTAAAGTACTATGTATCTTTTAAAAACACTTTCGCTATCGAATTGGATTCAACCTTTCACTTTCTATCTTTTTATAATACAATACAATCCAAATTATAAGTATAAAAGTAGAAAAAACTATACCACGGGTAATTACCAAATTTAACAATTTATATTAATAAGTATATATGACAATGTAGTTGTTATAAGTGTATTCGGCTTCTATGATTTTTTTACCAAATATATGCATACATACAAGTATATATTATATACATACGTACATACATACATACATACATACATACATATATATATATATATATATATATATATATATATATATATATATATATATATTTAATTACGAATGAATCTTTAATTGCTCAATGTAAAAATAGACTTCCATATACTTATGAAATAAATAAAATATAAAGCTAAATAAAAAAATATAAAGTATCATCGAGTTTTTTTCAAATTTAGATAGGTAAAGAGAAAAGATTAAGATAAAGATTATTAGAAAGAAAAATGTCGTTATATTCGTAAGATAAGATGAAATAAATCGATATTAAATTAAAATTTATATGAAATTAGAATTGTGCATTAAAATTAATAAATTAACATCTTTCAACATTCGAATCTTAAGTAATAATTATTCTCCTCATTTCTATTTACTGCGCAATTTAACTATTTTATGTCGACAGTATAACGGATAATCATATAATAGGAAAAGGTCTGCCTAGGACAAAATAGAATGCAAGTGAAAAAGTGAAAAAAAAATCCAATACAAAAAAAAGAAGAAGAATAAAAGAATCGTAACTATGTTAAAGTTTTTTTTTAGCAGCATACGTGCGTAAATCAGCGATTCATCGTGTAGTTGACTATTTGTTACAATTGGAAAACTTCGATAGAGTGAATCGAGACTTTAGGACAGTTCCATTATTTTTTTTCTATCTGTTGCATAGCCTCTTAAGAAGTATACATATGTACGTATTCGTGCAAGTGGTCACAATTTTCTCCATAATCTCTGGTATTGATGGCTTCTCTTTGGAAGACCAATTACTTTTAATTTCTTTAGTATCGTAGTTTTAATTTATGCAGGTGCATAGGTAATGAAAGGAACGCGTCCTACTTTCTCTTTCTTTAACCTACGTGTGCATTAGGCTTAAGATGAAATAATTTTCACAGTTATCCGGCGAGCTTGGAGTTCGTCATGGGGCTTTCCTTTTTTTTCCTTTTTTTTTGTTGAAAACAATATTACTCTTTCACGTGCATTCGCGCTTGCACTCGCACGTATTTATACACGAAGAAGATGAACGCCCTTTTTATCTTTTGATCGTTATTATTCACTCTCTCAAGTTCATCACTCGTCCCGTACGGGAATGTAGACTCATATTCGTACCAATTACGTTCGTAACCCATTACGTGATGGACTTCTTCGGCTTGCGGGGCTGTGAGGATGAGGTGGCGCTGACGGCAGTGACGCTGGTCCCATCCCCGGGTTCGATGCAGGGACTGGGCGGACCACTGTTGATTCGCGCTACCCGCTGGTAGAGCTCACTATTAACGAAACGCGGGTACGAGTCGCGGTGCATGAGAGTGTAGATCTGCAGTTGGGCCTCGTCGAAGGTGTGAGGCGTGGGTCGAGTCATGTTGCGATTGACGATTTCACGCACTCGCGAGTCCAGACTCACCTGTAAATTAACGTCGATCAACCAATCAAGTCGAAGTGGTGCCTTGGTACTTTTGCTTGTACCAAAGTTCGTTCTCGATAATTTAAAAGGGAGGGGCTCGTTATTACTAAACTATACTCGTTACTATTGCAAAGTACACTTGTCCAAAAGGTATTATTATAATTTAAAGAAATACTTTTTAAGTAAATAAACAAGGATTTTATTATATATATATATATATATATATATCTTTTTTGGGTTATTTTTATCCGTATCTACTGCAATAAGTATAAAGCGTATCGTAAGTAAATACTTTTTGTCAAGATTAAATAATATAAAGAAAAATATATCAGCAGCCTCTATGAGATAGAAGTTTCATATTTCGTTACAAATTTACAATAATCCATCACCGTGTAATTAAAAGGTCTCGTGTCTGGTAGTATCATTGCTGAAATATAATTTCGATAGAATATTTTATTACAAAATTTTTTAGAAATTTATAATGATCAGTGTTGTGTAATTGAAAATGTAATTTAATTATAAGCATAAGAATTCTTATTGTTGACAAGTTGAACTACATTTTTAATCGATATTTATAATTCAGCAATGTTTTAATTTTATATTCGATCAACTTATAGTTTTTATATTATGTAAAGTATTGTGTGAAAAGAATGATGTACGGATTGATTATAATATTCATATAAAAATCCTTGTTTAACGATTTGCTTTATTAGTCCTTTTTTTTTCTTTTTAATGACTGATTCAACTAACGTATGAGTATTAAATTTAAAATGGGTAATGGCACGTGCATTTTAATTTTTTATTATTATTTTGTGTCTTATTTATTTATTATTTTTCTTTTTATTTTTCTTTTTGTTTTTATCAACCGAGCTGATAAACTTAGCTTTAAGCAGTACTTGGACTGAACGTAACAGTAATCACCTGCAAATGTTTTCTAAAATTTCTTTATCGACCTTAAAATGAATATAAATTGATTTTAATCAATAATCTCTTGTATATTATCTAATAATATCGTAATGAAAGTGTACAATGCTCTCGATATATCGATACGTCACTAAAAGTTCTAACAGTCATAAGTGGTAGAATGAAGTAGTAAGCTGATCGTGTCAGTTTTTATCGGAGGCGTCATGCATAAAATCTCACTGTCCCAAGAACTAGAGAAAAAGAGAGAGAGAGAGAGCACGCGCGTGACCGAACGAGCGTATAAGGGGGCCGAAGAGAGGGAGTGTTCGAATGTGCAAAATGATGGAAGACAGGGTTTATATTTAGAAAGCTTCGATCTATCGCTCAACACCCTTCGTCACAAGCCAAGAAAGAGACTGACGGAGAGGGAAAATAAATGTGCGCCTACAAACTGGCAAACCGAGATACCTCCTGACCTATTGCGCTGCAGTTATCGGGAGTCAATTTCTCGCTACATCCAATCTTAATTTCTTATCTTAAATAATAAATTCTATTGACTTGCCGAATCACGCACCCAACAACTTATACGAATACACGTATGCGTCAAAAACCGAACTTTGAATTTCAATCGAATTATAATCTTCTTTCAAATTATGCCTCGTAAATATTGACTGTATTTATTGTTGCTTATTGAAATCAAATTTAATACAATGACAACCTTAGTTTCATCGCACAAATTTGAAATATTTAATATATAAATTTTTTATTTTGATGGCGATATTATACATTACAATAAACTATGAATATTTATAATATTTTGATTATCAAAACATTATTAATTACATTTCATTAATATAATAGTATTTTCACTGATTCTATTACATAAAAATAATACTAAAAATAATACTACAGCCAGTTTATAAAATTTTTCTTCCATGATAAGTTTTATTTATACTACACATACTGTATTTCTAATTTTTAGACCTAAATACAAATAATAATATTCTTCCAATTATTAACGATTTTTTGCTTATTATGATTATAAGGATTGTTTGTTATGATTTTATGAAATCTATAAAATGTATAAAATCAACCGTTCAACATATTGAATAACTGCGCAACTTGAAAAAATTTTAATTAAAAAAGCTTTTTATTTAATTAAATTCGAGGATCCTCTTGTTTTACCAAGAAGTATAATAACGTAAGGGTGTGAATATTCGAGAATAATTTTTCAAAATTGCACGATATGAGAAGAGACGTGGATAAGAGAAACTCACTTCCTTAGGCGAAATAATCGATATGTAATCCTCGTAGATGAACCGCGCCTTTTCTTCGATTTTCTCCGGATTACTCTCGCGCTTGAGTTGCTCGCAAGCCAACCAAAAGGCGATGTTCTCATCGCTGTACTCGCTCACTAGAAATTCTCTGAAAAGCTTCCTGCCAACGGGGTTGCGCATCAGACGGTCGAAGGAAGAACTCCAGGAGCGAATCTCTTCCATGCCGATGTCGCCGATATCGCCATCGAAGCCATTCCCCGCGCCAGCGGTTGCGAGCTCGCCGACGAGGCCAGCAGAGCTCCCGTGATCACCGGCTCCGAGGCCACCTCCAGCACCAGGACGCATTGACGCCGCACCGCCAGAACCGCCAGTGCCGACAGCCGCTAAACTAAATCCACACCCAAGTTATTTTATTAACTTACAGAACTCGCAGTCTGTCCAACAATTGAAAAATTCAACTTCATTTTTATATGAATATTTTTATATTTTCGCATTTTTACGCATCTATATGAACACATATTTTTCCTAAGGCTCCTTTTCCAAATTATTATTATTTCGCATTGAATTTGGATATTGTCTTGGGTAGCTCCGATATCAAATAATAATAATTACTTATGGATTTCCAATAATGTTTAACTAACTTAAAAAAGATAATTAACAAAAGATTGATAATTGGTAGATAGTTAATATTTATATTTAAGTAACTTTATTATTTAAGTATTCAATTGTTCTTGTTCATGCATATTATTGATACATAGAAAAACAGGTATTTCAATTTATTAACCTTTGGACTAAATCAGGAAATTATATTATGAAATTATATGAAAAATTATGTTGATTCATATAAGAGGATTAAATAATATTCGTTATCGATATTTGAAGGGATTTTAAATAAAGTTGTATTAAACGTCTTCCATTCTTACATACATTAAGTACCTCGTCATATTAAGTTTCATTTGACAAGTAGTTTTATTTTTATAATTATTAAATGTGATCATCTTAATGTTGAAACAATTATAACAGAATTCATTTGAATAAAATTTAACGATAATTAACGATTAGGTAATAGACCTTTCGGAGAAAGCAGAAATATCTTAACAAAATGTTAAGCATTTTTATATTAACAAATTTATTGTTTATTGTTTATCTTCAATACAAACATCAAAATTATTAGAATGTTAATGATGCATTTTATATGAAAATAAACATTTTCATGCTTGATTTATTACATAAATTGAATATTAATATTCATTAGATCTGAGAAAATGTATTGTATTTTTCCAAATATCATCTAAATATCCTATTCCTATTATTAAAAATCTTCATTCGATTTAAAAATATGTTAACGGACATAATTTTTCACGTAATTTTTCTAAATTTCACATATAGAATATATTCCTAATTAATGAATTTATCATGATATATCCACGTAAATAATGTTTGTAAAAATAAAGAATATGCAAAAGTTATGTATTGTTATTTGAAATATTTACATAAAATTTTAAAAATTTTACATCATTTTAATTTTAAGTTAATACATTGTTATTTTTTATAGATTTTACAAGTTAACCGAATTAAAATATTTACCGTTTTATGTATATATACAGCATTAATAAATCATATTTACCAAATCTGTGCAATTTTTATTAAATTAAATCAGGAAAGAGCAAGAAAATTATAATCTAATGTTTGTATTTTAACGTCAACTAATCACCTTTACGTTTACTAACATTGGCCGGTAACGTAAGTACTTTTTATTAAATAATAATAATATATATTATTCTGGGAAAATATAATATATTTTTTTAATTAAAAGACTTTTTTAACTATATGTTTCAATAAATGAAAAATGAATCGACCAAACTCTTGGTAATGCTTTTATAAATAGTTGATTAAGTAACAAATATATTACTGTTATTTATCTTATTTTATTATGAAATATAGTCAAATGAAGTTTGAAATATAAATTATCTTTTTTTGCATTGACAAATAGTTAAAATTATTTAGACTTGTTACTTAAAAATTACATACAAAAATTATTAAATTAAGCGTTAATAAAGACATTTTTACACTATCCATAAATAAGATAAAAGCTTTTATCCGATAAATTGCATTTTCTTTAATATCTACACATTGTTTTAGCTATATTTAAATGCTTATAATATACTACACTTTCTGAAAAACATGAGACTTTTAATTATCAAAAATATTGAAGATATATATATTATTTTATACATTATGATTTATATTATTTTTTATATTATTCAGTTTTAATAATTCATATTAATTGTAATAATAGCATTTTTTAACAAAAACGAATCCAATAACAATTTTAACAACAACAATAACAATAGCAACAACAACAACAACTATAATAATAGAATGATAAGCATAATGACAATATTGATCATTGAATTTGATAATACTAATGATAAGAATAGGTAAAATGATGATAACAATAATGAATGAAGATAAAAATCATAAAGCTAGTGATTACGGTGAGACTGAAATATGACTCTTTATCGCGTTCAGCATACCAATGTCATATTATGACTCAGAATGCTTAATATGTACTTTACAATTATTAAGGCAATTTAACTAGAGCTGAAGTAGTCTAACAGATAAGCTAAATACGAGAAATACAGCTACAGTATTGTAAAAGACAGTAGGAAAGTAGGAAAGTTACTAGTACAAAGTGCTTACTTTGTAAAGTTATGTTGCACATACCTCGGTATTGTCGAATTGTCACGCGCGAACATACATCTTACACTTTTAGTTTAAGCAAAACAAGAGAATGGACTGAAAAAATTTCACTGACTCGACGTTACAGCAGCTATCTGAGTAGAACTTGGATTTGTTGTTCAATTGAGCACGTGTTTGTGATATCGTTTCGCGAGGGGCGTGAGGAGGTGGGGGCAAAGTCCCTCGGTACTGATCCAAACGCACTAATCAGAGTTTTAAACTCGACTGCTGAGCGACGCTTCTTAGTTTCATAGGGAAGGCAACGAATGAGTCGAGTCGCGGAAGATTTGGTAGGGGTCAGACATTTAGATAAGTGTGAGATCAAGTGAATGTGCTTGTGTATGTGCAAACGAGTGAGTGAGAGAGAGAGAGAGAGAGAGAGAAAGAAATGAGAGTAAGGAAAAAGAGGCATGAATGAAGCGGCCTTAGTCCATAGGTTTGAAAAAAGAGAGAGGAATTCAACACATAAACACGATTGTTTTATATGCGTATTTTCGGGCGCGCTCGTGCACATGCGTGTGTATGTGCATGGAAGGTTACACATGTTATATTTCCTGTTCTAGTGGCTGCTGCTAAAGTTTAAGACCTAAAGAGACGTCAAGGCGCACAAGCACGTGTTAAGTCTCACATTGCGAGTATGGCATGGCACGAGTGACCAGACAAGTCGAGCCCGATGTTCTTGAAAAATCCGTTTGTTTTTCCAGCATTCATCAGATACATTTTATATCATAAAATACTTTGTATTATAGCTTTTTCTATCTGCTTATCTGTGCTATTTATTTTTCTTATTTCGATAAATGTCGTTAGCTTATCGGAACATTCATATTCACAGTACATTTTTCAATACTTTAGATGTAAAATGAAATGAAAATTGAATTTTTGAAAGAGGAGTTATAGAACATATAATAGTATGTCTTTACCATTCCTTAGTCTTATAATGAAGGCTACAAGTACGTTAGTCTATTTAATACTTTCTTCGTTTTATTGGCTATTTTTATTAGCATTTTATAAATCAAAGAAAAATTGTAAATTACTATTTTTTAATTCTTGTTGTATTTTTATAATATTATATAATATTATACAATATTATATAATATTATACAATATTTAGAATATAGTAAAATTTCTTACTCGTTTTCATAATCATTTCATTTCTTTAACATAATTTTTTTAAATTAACTCACATATATCTTTAATATCAATTTTTTTTTTAAAGCAAAATTATATTATTGTTTTATTATAATATTAATCGTGAGTAATATAAATTATTTTATAATAAAGTTGGAATCTTCAGCACGTATTTTTATAATCTGCTTAAATAAAACAATCTTATTAAAATTTTCATGAACTACAATAACTTTTGAAGTGATCGTTTTTAATTATAATATTTGTGCTTTAACCAACAGACTTACTAGCAAAGAGAAATCAATAAACATAAACAAAACTAATAATATAAATTAAATTTAACACTAAGAGAGGCTAAGAAATAGATGATTCAGGTCTCTTGTATTCTTACTTGACAATCAACTTTTTCCAAAACTCCATCACGAAGTACGAATTTCTCCAACGAAACGCTCATTAGTTCATAACGCATAAAAATAATAAAAACATCGCTACCGATACTCACAATTTACAGATCAATAAAGAAAAAGTATTTTGACCATAATGAATCCTCGTAAGGTCGCAACCGCTTCAATTTATCATGTTATTATCATACAGTACACACACACGTATGTAAAATAATGTGAACATGTGTCTGTCGCTCACAGTTAAAAAAAAAAATATAAAAAAAAACAGAGATTCACAGCGTCTTCTTTTTTTTCTGCCCTAGATTTAAAAAAGTATATAATATTGAACAGTCACAACGACAGTAACTTATTAGCAGACGGTTTGAATATTGCACAGGTCTACGCGGCTTTGCCTTGCTTACACTCTGTATTTTATATACAGTCGGCCCAGATTTTCGCGCACGCGCATAAGAATCGGTACACACACGCGCGCACGCACGCACGCACACACACACACATAATAAAGCATACTCTCGCATCATTAACAACATGTAAAATGTAACATAAAATAAATGGGTGCGAATGTCTACACATATACATGTAAAATGAAAAAGGGCAACAAAACTGCTCACCATTTATTCCTGCTTGCAGCATGAAACATAGAAAAAAACATTATATAAATATATAAATGTGTATGTATATATCTACAAAGATAAATCTATATATTAATAAAAGGGCACAGCCACCCACACAAACGCGCATACGCACGCACGCACGCACGCACGCACACGTTTACATGCATCCCACGTATATCTAATGTGCGTGAGGGAAGGGTGTAAAAACACAAGTTTCGTATGCATTTTGTATGTGCTACGTCGATTTCTCAGTCATGCATTGTGTAATTATGTATATTTTTGTAAGAGATTGAGTTTATTCATATATTTATATAATATAATTGAGAGTGATATTGCATATAGGGGTGCGCAAGGGAGAAGAACGGAATATGTATGTATACAGAATACAAAAAGACACTTCAGACAGTAAATGGGTCATAGATGTCTTGTTAAACTAGCAAACGACGCTAAACAATCGACTTTAATATCGAAAAGCGTCATTCCAAAAAATAGCTGCACAAGAAGAACAAAGAGATAGACACGTTTTCTTTTATGCCCAGTTGAATGTCATCGAAGGAAAATAATTTGACTATATTTTTGATTAAACCAAGTGTACTAATTTACAAAACAAATTCATTAAAGTCGTCTGATAATGGTTCAACATTTTTACTAGCTTTTGGTCATATAATAGTGTTAGGATACATTAGGGTAGGATAGTTTTTTGATAAACAAAAATGATCTAATACTAGTTTTTAATACTAATATAAGCAATACACTATTCCTTGTATTAAAGATCTTTTTCTTAACAGCAATTAATTCAAATTTCTTAGCTTGCTTTGATTCCTCATTTCAGCTATAAATCATATTCAATATTTTATATTAAATATTTCTAGAACTTTCCGAAGAAATAAATTATTAAATAAGAAATAAATAGTTTAGTGAACAATGTAATACAAAATAGTGTAATTATTTTTAACATAACCATAAAGTATTATATAATTTGAAATTATGAGCTAAAATTCTATTATATATTCGTGTGAAATGCATATATAAATTTTTTTATTATAAAAAATATTCGTATCAATTTTAACTTCATTACGTGGTATAATAATAGAAAACGAGTGAAATTAATTTCATGAAGAAAATCAAAGTGCAAATACACGCAAACGCACTATACATCTATACACATAAACACAGATTTTATTAAACAGTAACATTTTTATTTATAGCCTTGTTCATGTTACAATATACTATCGAAAAGTCGGTTTCCTAATTTTAACATGAACTTATCATAATTTATTTGGAATAAAAAGAAAAAAGTAAGAGTATCGATTTCTTTTTCGTACATTGCCAATGTGTAATGCTTTCATTTTATGGTAATTTAAGCGATATATTGTTACAGTTCTAAGTATGTTTCAACCATAAGTTTATATCGGTTAATGCCCATAAAAGTATTTAAATGCGTAGAAAATATACATATATTTATATAAATAATGTAATAAGTAATTCGATTTATTAAAATTTATATAGAAATTCAGAGATGATTTCAATTAGCCGTATAGATTTTAATGATGATTTATAGAAACAAACAAATTTCCTTATCACTTACATTGGAAATAACTAATTATTCACTTGAAAAAAATTATTAAAAAAATGTCTTAAATAGATTCAATAGTAAAATTCTATAGTTCTATAGTAATTGTTATTATTTTTCTATTACAATTAATTTTATTTACAATTCTAATTAAATTATTTTTTGAACAAACTTGTAAATAATATAAGTGAAAAATATATAGTAAGATTAAATAAAAATTTACATAAAAAATTACTACATATTTTAATGAAAGAAATTTAACAACACATTTTTACATATTTGCAAAAAATTATTATAAAATTTTATTCATTCACAGTGAAGTTCATGAATTGGTGGTGAAATTGCAATTTGCCAAGATCCATTTTTGAAAATACTTAAATCTTATAACTTTACTAATAAATTCATATATGTCTCATATATTTATATAATATAGCTTTATAAACTTGAGCGTTATCCTAACAATTGCATTTTTATTTAAATTTTAACGATTTAAAAATTTCATAGTTACTTTAGTATGAGCGTGTATATATGTGTGCGTGCGCATACGTGCGTATGCATTATGTCTAATAGTGAATAGAACGAATGAAAGATAAAATCGACAATACAATAAATAAAGTGGTTAAAATTTTCTAAGATATTTTCAAGTCAAACCAATCATTTATTGCTTGAATAGTCTTTTGTATTTAAGATGACAATATTACAATGAATAACGCTTTAAAAAACAACAATTTTTTGTTGAAAACATTATACACTACATTTGACTGTTGTATGAGTAAACTTTGAAAATAAGAAAATCTAGCATACACAATTGTTGTTTAAATTGTTTAGTTTGTTGAAATTGTAAGTATGTACAAGTTGAAAAAATAGTTTTTAAAAGCATTGAAAAAGAATATTTTGCAACTTTGTATAAGTTTATCCGTCGTATCGGAGATAAAATTATAATAATCGAGTGAGCTTTGTATTATTATATTTGTATTCTAATGTATAGAGTGTAAGAAGTAGATGTGTACAGGAGGGACAATACCACGAGCAACTGCAGCAGCAGCACCAACATAAACAGCAGTTGTCCTTCTTGGATCTGCCCATGACTCCGTGTCGTTGCTGCTGTTGGACCTGCTGTTGTTGCCCTTGGGGTTGACCAGAATTATTACTGCCCCGCTGCTGGTTTGAGGATCCCGTGGAGGCCTGACTCTGGCTTTGGGCCCGTAGCCGACATCCGCCACCGGACGAGTCACTGACACCCCCGCCTCCACCGCCACTACCCGCGCTTCCGTGACTAACGCCTATTCCCATGGCTGTGGCACCGATTCCGCTCGACATCTTTGCAAAAACGCGCAATACACATATCAGTTTCAACCATCACTATTCAAAACTAAATACATTAACCAAATATTTATTTCTAACTTGACACTAATGACACTCTTGAAAAAACCACAATTAAATTAATAATGCATGTCAAGACAATGAAATGACATAAATTATTTCATTATTATTGATCTTATTTAAGATCGAGAAGTTCATAATGCTGTATAAAATTCATAAAAATTGGATAACAATACAATGACAATATTTTGTCTATTACTATGTAGATATCACCTTGAAGGAATGCATGTTCTTATTCTCTTATGATTACTTCGATTTTACTTAATATAATGAATGTATTATTCAAAATAAATGAATTGTTTAATTAAAGTGATCGATTTCTCTTTTTGGAGGAAATTTGTTATTCAACTTGCCGTTCCCTTTTATGTAAATATTGCAGTACTGATATTTTATTAATTAAAGACATCTGACTCATAGTCGCTACATCTATTTTGAAATATTAATTATTTTAAATAAACAAATTTTCATATACTGATTATATGCATGTAATAAAATCTTTAGATGTAATAATCTTTAGATTTTGGAATGTTTATTACTTCAAATACAAAGTACAAATACATTCACTTATACATGTGTATTGATTGTAGCTTAATAAAGCCTAAAAATGTCGTTTCGAAGCACAAAAAGTATTTATTTATATTGCTATTTGATGCAAAGGTATTTCATTTGGAAAAAATGTTCATATTTTTTTAAGTTAATTGATGGATGAATTAGCTCTTGGATGGATGAGTACAAAAAAAATATCTTATATTATTTTATACTTTCAATTAATTTTTAATTAACAATTCTGGAAATTGTTAGTAAATTAGTAATGAAAATTATATAAAATCATTAAATTGCTAAAATAAAATAAAAAAAAATTTTTCAATTAAGACATCATAATGTTATGTATAAAAAATTGAATCCATATAGATTATATGCATCATACTTCTCAAGTGATGTATTTAATATTTATCAAGCCCATACTATAAGAGCTTACTATTCACAGATTTAACCATATAGTTTCATATAAATTAATCCTGTTTATTTATACTTTTATATAAATCAAGACTTAACTATTGTATTCAAATACATTATTAAAAAAGTTACTGCAGTAAGAATAATACAGATTGTGTGAATAACACTGTACATTTTAAATTATATATTAGACAATCATTGAATATTATGTATTAAAGTAAGCATTAAAAGTGAGAATTTTTCTCATACTTATTTAAAATTATGAAACTCTGAAATTTATGTTTTATTGTTGAAATAATTACTATTTTTCAAAAATATATAGATATTACATGTAGACTGAGGTTTATCATAAAAAATATATGAAAACTATTTACAATGCAATTTTAATTTATAAATGAGAACTAATGAATAATAATAATTTTTCATTAAATATAATAATAATAATTTTTAAATAAATATAATTCAATAAATAATAATAAAGTTATAAATTCATGATCATATTAATTTATTCTTTTTTACTATTTCAGTTCTAAATTAATAAATAATAATATTTATAAAATGCTACTTTTTTGTTTTAAAGTTGAAATACTAAACGCAATTTCTAATAAGATTAGTAAACTTAAAAATATATATTATTTATACACCATATATAAAATATTAAAGTATATATTAAAGCAAAAAAAAATGAAATAAAGCTTAGATAATTAATATTATTATTCATATTGCAAAAATCCAATCCTTTAACCTAAAACTTTATAATATATAATATATAACTTTATTTATAAAATAGATATAAGATACTTCAAATAAATATTAAAGATGTATTTGAAATATTACATGTAAAATATTTTGGTAAAAAAGCACATCGTATCTACGCGACATATATAAGTTTCAGTTAAGCAATTAACTTGTTATTATTAATATAATTTGAGACTTTAATACATTTGTATCATTAATTGATTTTTATTTTACAATTTCAAAAATAATTTTTTAATACCAATATTTTATTGAAATTTACTATTATTACTGATATTCGTCTCTAATATTAATGATTTTCTTTTAATCGCATGAATAAAGAAACTTTAAAATTTTAAATTTAATTAAAAGCAAAATTTTGAAATAAAATTTAATTATGAAACATCTATAAGTATCGGAACACAATTATCAGTATATAATATTTATGAAATCTCATATTAATGAAATTTTTATTCGCTAATTGAAGAATCACTAAGATTAAATGTGTATATAATTTATGATAATCAATAATTTATTAGAACGCATATTTTCATTTTTAATAATAAGATGCACATATATATACTTTTTTTATTTACTTGAATCTAAATGTAATTGTAAGAGTACATGTAAAATTCTTGTGATTTTTTGTAAATAATTATAATTTTTTACAAATTATTGTTTTGCTTGAAAATAAAGTATCCTAAGTAATAGAGTAATAGAGTAATATTCTTACTAAATAAACAAAAATGTATTCTATTATGTATTATTAAATTGAATTTTACAGAATTTTTTTGTAATAAAATCGATATAGAATAAAAATGAATTGAAATTTTTATTCATGATGTTTCAGTCTGTAAGAATGGAATATTAATAATGCAAAGAAATTACATTTTTAGGAAAAAAATATAAAGCAAAATAATATTAAAAAATCAATCAGTATTTATAAATCATTAATTGATTATATAAGTTTGTATTAGTATTGTCTCTTTACAAACTAAATATTACCAATAAAGTATCGATAGAGAGTGAGACCGAGTTTTCAAGAAAAATTCAGACTTTCATTTGCAAGACTAGAAACAGAAACCAATGGAATTATTGCTTGTCTGTATTTTTTCTCTTTCAAATCTACCCCTTCTATCATTCTCTCTCTCTTTCTCTATCCATTCTTTATATCAGTCACATAGGCAATTGATGTCTCACCTCTATCATGTTCCATGCGCTTGATAGCGAGGCCAGCTCGCTTCCTTCTTGTTCAAATATATAGCGCACCTTGTCGTGCTATTCTACTGCTTTTCGAGCCTTCTAGAGTGCTTGCGCTCTCTCTCTCTCTCTCTCTCTCTCTCTCTCTCTCTCTATTTATCAATCTATCTATCTACCTATCTATATATCTACCTATCTATCTATTTATCTATCTATCTATCTATTCCTCCCTCTATCTAGTTCTCTTCTTGCTGTCTCTCTTTCTCTCTATCTGTTTGACTCATATACGTGTAAACGTACATTCACGCGCACATGCACACACAGCTCTTTTGCTATCACCCCTAATTTATAAAGTGGCCAGTTATCAATTTGAGCCTGTCACGACTAAAGTCATCCACCCACGAGACCATTGCTGTTAAGCCACGGGTACTCAACTAAGTCGTGCATACTATGTATCATCTAAGAATACTTCAATATCTCTATTATACTTCACTATATTTCTTTCTTTATTTAAAATCTTTAATATTTTCTTATTAGATCACACCTCTCGGACATTAATAGACTAGTATTATAACCACATTTACACTTCTCGATAGAATAGTCTACTCACTACGCTAGTGGCTGTTCTATCATATCAAAAACATTGCCTTCATCTTCTTTATTATCAGCAATTTATTTACTTATAGTCTTATCTCATCTCTTCCCTATTCACCTTCGGCTTCTTCATTTCCTTCTTGGATTACTTCTTTTGCCTCTATATTAACTCTGTGTATATTTATTTATTTTTTTATATATATTGTTTGCAGCTTACAGCCTCTTTCATCCCCCAATGCTTTGCCAAATGAGAACAGAAAATATTTCTATATCTCACGCTCTGTTTCTCTCTCTCTCTCTCTCTCTCTCTCTCTCTCTCACACACACACACACACACACACAACTACACACAGGCGCGCACGCACGTATGCACGCACACGCACAAGCACGCTCTCTCTCTCTCTCCCTCTCCCTCCCTTCTACCCTCTCGTTCTTTCTCTTTCTCTAAGGTTTATATAGAAAAAATAAAACACACACGATGTATAATAATAAACAAAAAGGGATACAAAAAGGAAGAAAGTGAACGATGTAAACAAATTAAACGGTAGATATTTCTTGATTTCTCGATTTGCTTATCTTCGTGACTCTCGTGTATTGTTGCTAGCAACAATATTGTTGCTAGCTAACAACTACGATGAGAAGAAGGTTATATTCCTCGATTCTTTAGTTATAAAAAATAAGGGTAGAAAAAGGAGTAGATGAAAGAGAATTAAAGTGGAGATTATAAAAATAGGGTGTGCGCAGCAGCGTGCGGAGAGTTCGATAATGGCCCCGCTATAAGCAAGTCTGTAAGGGGACAGAGAAAGAGAGAGAAATAGAGAGCGAGAGAGAGAGAGAGAGAGAGTAAATATAAATGTGTATGGAGTGGGACGAGGAAGGGAGAGAGAGAAAAACAGATGTTGTAAAGATGACGCTGACAACGACGCCGACGAAGACGACGATAACAACAAGGGCGACGTTAAACAGAATAATACACTAACAGAGCCAAATACGAAGCTTTCAGGCGCGCGTGTTTATTGATTGGCGAGTTGTGAGAGCAGTAAACCGTTCGTTGCCGTAGCGGTTGAAGCTTCGAAGCTCCGAGCGAGATTTTCTTGTCTACCTCTGCTGTTTCTGCTTCCCAAATAACCAAAAGCTCTTTTCGATCGTCTCCTCTCTTCTGTTTTCCTCTCTCCCTCCCTCTCTCTCTCTCTCTCTCTCTCTCTTCTTTCCTTGGCTTTTTCTCTTTTGTTTCTCTCTCTCTTTCTCTCCCTCTCTCTCCTACTTTCCTTCCTCCTTCCAGGCCTTGATCACCTTCTCTCTCTCTCTCTCTCTCTCTCTCTCTGCTTTTCTATCTCTCTTTGACGCTATCGTGGAATGCTGGTTCCTCGGCGATGCACGTAGAAAAAAACTGCTTCTTATGTTACTCCGTTGAGGGAGAGAGAGAGGAAGTACAAGCGAGTGAGCGAGTACGGGTCAATGTCTCCCCGCTATGGGTGCCCCAAGAATCTCTTACTAAAAGTAGGGTCGTCCTCGTCCGCAAGGAATCGCTGATACAGCGATGATGCGACGAGCTTCCTCCTTGCTAAGCGCATCTTTCAACCCTTGTCGTCTTCCTCATTCTCGCGTTTTCTCCTCTCCTCTTCTTTCTGTTTCTGTTTATCTTTATATTTCGTTTCCTCTGCCTTTTTCTCTGTTCCTGCCTCTTGCACGACTATTCGCAATCCCACTGCTTATGTTTACGTATCCATGCACTCTCCCTACTGCTCCTCTTCGGTCTGTCGCACTCGGACTCGTACTACTTGCCACTGCGACGATCACAACACAGGACTACGCGAAAAGAGAAGGCTTTTCAACCTTGAACAATGAAGCCAACTCCCCTCAGCTTCCTAACGGCTACCGCTCTTTATCAAGGACAAAAGGTGCGCGAGCCCTTAAAGGCAGTATGATCGGAACAACGAAGCGGGATAACTACGAGAATGACGGTGACAATGCACTCGAGCTTTCGAGGAAAGCGAGAGTTCGCGCGCGCTTGACAGAGTGTCGATGTTACGCGAAGCCGCAATCGTGTGGGTGATGTCTACTCGTTTCTCTGCACTTGTATAAATATTTCCGGCTGAACGTCGCATAGGACGTCTGAGACCGAAAAAGCGATAATTTAGAAGGGATGAGTAGCTCTGCGAGCGCCAAGAGAGCTCCTCCACTTTCAATATGGCGGTCACTGGTGATGCCTGGCCACCACTGCCACCGTCGCACTAGGCGACAACGACGCCGACGCGAATGGGCGAGAGAGAGAGAGAGAGAGAGAGTAAAAACAGTACCGCGACGCCGCACAGATCATTGCACGTTCTCGCTCTTTCTCTCCCTTGCGCCTACACATTTGTACGCGCGACATTTATCTCTCTCTCTCTCTCTCTCTCTCTCTCTTTCTCTCTCTCTTTATGCATACGTGCATGCGCGCGTGTGTGTGTAGGTATGCGCGTATGAAGAAGATCCTCGTAATATTTGGTATATCTTTATCTACTAGACAATGATTAACGACTTAAATAGAGCCCACGCGACTTACATTTTTAGCTTGCAACGACCTGTCTTAGCAGGGCAAAGATTTTATCTACTATTCACCTGTGCGCCGCCAACAGCTCGTACAAGCTGTTGCTTTAGTTATTAGAATGACGCGCGCTGCTTTTAACTCACATAAGGGTTGACTAGTTGTACTGTATGTCGAATATCTCTTCTGAACATTCTTATTTATCTTCTTACTTTATCCAATCACTAAGCGTCCTTTAGTCCCTTATAACTTTTTTTAACATTTTTTATATATTTTGGAATGATGTTTACACTGCGATATTTTATATGGTCGAAAATTGTATTACAAACGCCTATAAAACAGCAAGAGGAAAAATAAGGAATAATCTTCATTAAGCTAGTAATTTTTTATTAAATATCGATGTCATTTAAGGACAGATAAACATAAGGCTAGTTATTAATGACTATGTGTTCTACTTTTCCAAAGTCCATGGATCTATTTATTCACACATATTATTGTTCTCATATAGAAAGTTATATATATAATTAATATAAATTTAAACAAAAAGAAATGATAATCAATACTTTATAGAAAAGTTGATATTAATACAGTATAATATAATTAATATTTTCTTCGCTTTGAATAAACGAATTTCAATGAAAATATAGGAACTATTTTCCCACATTTTTTATATTAAAATTTCTATTTTTTAAATTATTGAACATGAAAATATAATTTGTTAAATGTATATATTTAATTTATATTTAAATATAATTTACGCTAAAATCATTAATCAATAATTTATAAAATCAGAACTAATATCAATATCAATATATATATACGTATATATATATATATATATATATATATATATATATATATATATATAGTTTATTATTTATTTATGTTAACCGTATATATTATTTATTTATTGATATGATTCTTCTTCCTTATAAGAGAAGTAATTTTTTTTTAAATAATCGATCCATGAAAATCGATGATAAAAATTCATAAATAGTGTAATAATAACGAATGCTTCCCCGCGGTAATTTTGAACTTATAATTATGCAGAATATAAAATAAACCTTGCATTAATCGACAATAAAATTTCAATGTAATGACATGTGGTGATAGTATATTCAATTATTAATTAAGAAAAATATATTCATTAGGCGCTCTAGAAATGAAAATGTTATCTGAATAAACAATTGCTGATAAAGCTGAAATCTGCAATGTTTGCCATTAAACGCGCATTTCCTCAAAGTCGCTCCATCTGGAATGAATGCAAGGAAGCTCGTAAACTTGCTGAAATAGAGGTGACAGCTGTTTCACAAAAACAAATCAAATAATGAGACAGATAAAAGCGATTGCTTGAGTGAACTTAAAATTATCGAATTTATAAGAATATAATTAATTCCATTCTTTTGTCAAACAAAAGACATTTTTGTCGTAATTTCAATGAATACTTAAAGCCAGTCTCGAGCACATTAAACAATCCATTAAAGAAATCAAAAGTTTCGACGATTCGGTAACGCTAGTTAGAAAAATTTCAACTTAATTACATACAATTATAATTATATTACCTTAAAGTATTATAAAATATTATCTTTAAATTTATTATGTTTAAACGTGTTATAGTAATAATTTACTTTCTGCTTTTTAAACAAAAATATGAATATATATATATATATATATTATTGTAACAAGACTAATTCAAACGGATTCTAATGTATTTGGCTATCTTTGTTACATTTTAATAAGTTATTCATTAAATAAAAGATATTATTAATACGGGTATTTACTGTTAATAATTTATTGTAATAAACATTATAATTAGTATATAGATATTTTATAAAGTTAGTATTACCTTATTACAATTAATTAATAATTCTTCATTATTATTAATTATAAATATCGCACTCGATTAGTACTTTTTTTCTACCAAATAAATACATAACAATTCGATACCGTTTATATTAGTAGAATTACTAATAACTAATAACATAATAATTGTCACTTGCATTTTTATTTATATACGTATTTATAAAGTATAAAATAGAATATGTAATTTTTATTATTCATAAAGAATTGTAATTTTGCAATGTAGCAGTCCCATTATTTTCTCCCAAATTATCAAATACAAAATTTAAAACACAGAATTTATGATTTACATAGTTTCTTTTGCGCTTACGCTAAAATTTTGTTACCCAATTTCAAAATGTATAAGATGCGCGGACTGGCATTTAGTGTCAAAAATAAAATAGAGATTGAAGTGAGTCGAGTCGTTGGAAGCTGCGAACTATTAACCCAATATGTCCCGATCTTGTTTCAATGGTCATTTTATTCATTTAAAAGCATTTGTTTTTACTATGCGAGTAACGCATCCTTCGCACATAACTTCGTCGCTGGAATCACACGTAAGTCATCCGTGATAGTGGGTGTATAAGGCCATTGAATGGTAAAGAAAAACGTGCTTTATAAGTCGCTCTTTCACCGAATCTGCAATGTCTCTAAGCTGCTTCTGCCTGTAGTTGAGTAGTAAATTATAATCCACCGAATATGAAGTCAATGCTCGCGCTACAGTAGACGGTACAAGAGCTAATATCTCAACTCAGTTGTAATAAATGTTTTTTGCTTATAAACCTTTCTCATAACGCGTATAATATCTCAGTTATATACTACATTAGGATATAATTGCATATGAAATATCTATAATAATCTTTCAGCTATTTAAGTACAAATTATACAATGTATAGAAGTATACAATGTACAGAATTGCATTTATCATACTGTATTTACTTCATTTCGAGTACCAAATGCAAATATTGAAAAATTTTAATCTTTCTCTATGATAATTTATGTTATGCATTTGTTGAAATTTGTTGGAACGTTTATTTTCTTCAATATTAATCGGCCTATTGAGCATGTATATTGATACTGTAGACATAAATCTTGGTATCTTAAAGAGAAAATTACTGAAATTATAGTACGATCATTATTAAATCAATAAAACTTATAATTTTACATGTATTATGTAATTACAAGATTTTTATAGAGAAAAAATGTATAAATTATAGTAAAAAATTCAAATTTATTGCTTTACAATTAAATAAATTTCTAAACCTTGTTAATTATATGTTTACACATAATATAAGCTTTAAAAACATGCTTACAAGCAATTCGTTTGTTAGTTTAATTTAAACATTTAATATGATTTTCCTTTAATTTATATATTAATATAATTCGTAATTTAATTTAAATACGAACTTACATAATATCTAATAATTATATATTAAATCGAATCAATTTTGATTCTCTAAAAATAAAATATTACATATAATCTATCGTATAGTATATAGTGCACAAATAAGTTTTTTTCGTATATGAAGAAAGTGCTTGGAAGAAATGGTGAAAAAAAAGTAAATAATCAATTTCTAATAAATCATGAAATATGTTATTAAATGTTTTAATAGATCACATTACAATTCTGAAAATCATTAGTGTGTAATATTATTAGTATATTAAAAATATCGATATTATTAACGCGAAACGCTTAATCAATATAAATTTGATTAAAATAAACTTATGACTGATAATTAATTAATTACAGTAATTTTTTAAGAATATTTATTTTTCGTACAATACACAAGATATTTTTGATAAATAAGAAATAAGATAAAATATGTGTTTTATCATATTATTTCTAATCATATCATAAAATAAAACAAAAATACATTAACGCAAAATATATTTTAATAAGTTAAAAAATGCATAAATATTCCAGAGGCTATTTGCATCGAATTGCAATATCATTAAATTTAATATAAATAGATTTGTAAAAAAATATTAACAACATACTTTTAATGCTCAGAATGAAGCAAAATTTTGTAGAATATTAATTATTAATATATATTAATAATTTTAATAATAAAATATTCAGTAAAATTCAAACATTTAATAAAATTATTATAATTAAGTATATTTTAATATAATATTTCAACATTATAATCGAGATTATTTATTAGCAATAAGTAAAAATAAAAAGACTTAAAACTTGTAATATTATAAGTAATGGGATTCAAGGAATATATACAAGAATTCAATAATTTTCATTTTTATTTCAACATTCTCTTTGAAAAAGATGTAATATTCATCTTTTCAGCTTTTACATAATATATTGCAAAACTTCAATTAAATTACTATCCATTAAATATAAGTATTCGAAAACGACTGATCAAGATCTTCCGCTTCAGTTGATTTCACCAGATTCGCCGATGAAAGGAAACTGTGAACTACCGGGTTAGTAAAGGTCGAAAGAATAATAAAAAATCAATTTACAGCTTTGTGCTTTTTTCTGGTTATCGCTCTTTGCTTACCATTTCATCCTGCTTTTAAATTAATTAGCAGCTCTATTTAAAGTTCGAAGACAATCAATCACTGTAATTCAGATAAAGCACTTAACGCAGTATAATTGTGCGAAGATATATACATGCATTCTTTTATAAATAAGTGTATTGATAGAATACGACAAAATTGCATAAATTATTCAATAATTGTATAAATTATCGGATATAAATTTTCAGAAATATTTTTTTTCTGACATAAATAACTGATAAAGTGAGATTTTGAAGCACACACACACGCATATATAGTTATATAGTTTTAAAAGTAATATTTATTTATTTGGATGATTTTTTAAATAGATGTTCTTACACGTTGTCGTTATAAATGTAAATAGATAGTACATACCTCAATATTCTTCCTCTTCACCTTAAATACATTTTACAAATAAATATTTTTAACGATATTCCAATATATTTGTAAATTTAATTGTAAAAATGTATTTCACAACAAATTCAATTGCATATAAAATGTGTAGAACTGTTAATTACGTAATATTATTTAGATGCATTAGTAGATTTTTTAAAATAAAAGCCCGATTCTTTATATATGTTTATATCAATTTGGTTTTGGTCCTATTATTTGATATTAATTTTATATTAATTTAATATATATATATATATATATATATATATATATATTAAGATTCTAATAAATTAATATTTAATTATAATTGTTTAATAATATGTCATATATTTATAAAAGAATATTATGGGGAAAATTTGTCAAATTCATTTAGAAAAATTATGTGAAAATTATTTTGCCAGCTTTTTACAGATTATTAACACTATTTGTACCAAGATAAACCAAACAAAGTAACGAAATCAAATCGCTTGTATATTTCTTTTTTTATGAATAACAATATGAGGAAAGGTAATTATGTGCATGAAAATGTTTATGCAAATTGTAATCTCTATGATAGTTGTGATAGTTGATAAAAATAAAAGTTTATTTATTATGATTATTATGTTTCAAATTTACTGTTATCTAAGTGAAATTGCTTGATATTTTATGAGTAACTTGTGAACTTTATAAATTTAGTATGTTTGATGTCTTTAAAGACGAGAATTATTAGTGCTCGATTTCGATAGTTTAACAGTTTTAACTTGCATTAATAAAATATATTCTTCTTATTATTATTTGATTTTAACCTTTGTATAAATTATTGAATAACAGCGAATTTTGAATAATAAATAAACACATTTAAGAAATGAAGAAAAAAAATAGAAAAAAAAATTTTCTAGATATTGAATCAGTATTATAAATTTTCTTCCCTTATAAAAAATTTTAATTTACTAGTTTCTTTTAAACAATCTTGAAAATGAAGGTTTTTATTAATTGTATTTGGGGAAATAAAGGAATGACTCTGGATAAAAATCTTAAATAAACAGCGTAAAAGCAATTGTAGCGAAGTTTTTAGGTAAATAGGAATCGGGTGAAATGGATGGTAATACACGAGCAGGAATTAAATTAAAAATGATGAAGGGCATTTATAAGAGATTATATATTCAAAGCTACAAAAGTAAAATTAAGGCAAGAATTGACGCTGATTCCTGAAGCGGTAGTTTTTCCAAAGTCCAAATACCGACACTGACAATCCTTCTGTTTTTTCCTCGCTCATCTTCTCTCTTTCACTACGAAATACCTGTATCCTTCCTTCCATTCTGTAAACCTATGAGACAAACGGAGAGAGAGAATGAGAGAGAGAGAGAGAGAGAGAGAGAGAGAGAGAGAGTGAAGGATTGAGTAAGAGTGCGGGAGGGGGAGGGAGATAGAGACTTGGCGCTCTGGCGTAGACGTAGGCACCGAGGCCGACGTGCAGCAGCGCACACCTAGATACGAACGGAACTCATTATAGCCGGCAGTCTGAGCCAGGCCTGAGCGACCGGTACAACCGGAGCGACGTGGGGGCGGGATGAAGCCGAGCGACGTTGACGACGGTACTCCGGCAGGCGGCAGGCAGCAGGCAACCGCTTCGGGGGATGGGGGAAGGAGGTTGACGCAAGAGGGGGAGGATCGAACCAAAACCGACAGCCAAGCGGCTAGGGGGAGGGGACGCACCTCTCTGCCCCCGCTATCCTCATACTCCTACGGCTTCCCCCCTCCCAGACCGTTCGACCACCCCCTCCTCCTCGTCCCGCGCCCAACTTATGCGCGACCGCTGCCACCGCTCCCCTCGCCGACCACGTCGATGCCCCACCACCCATCGCGCAACGCCGGGCCGAGCACCGTAACTACGCACACGAGGGCTAGAAGAAAGCGACGAGTCCACATCTATGGGCTCTCCTCTCTCTCTCTCTCTCTCTCTCTCTCGCTCGCTCGCTTCCCGTCTCTCTCTATCTCTCGCTCGCTGGGGCCTGAATGAGCAAGGGGGTGGCAGCAGGCAGGACGGCGCGGCACCCCACCTCTCCCTCGCTCGCGGCTTCGGCAGTAGGGAGGGAGAATGAGGAAGAATGAGCGAGAGAGTGAGAGAGAGAGAGAGAGAGAGAGAGTGAGAGCGAAGCCACCCACTCTCGCCCACCATCCACCCAACCTCGTCCGCCTGCCACCCCGCCTGCCCACCCACTCGCCACCCGGCCGCCGTCGAGGAAACAACCTGCGAGCGACGTGTTGGTGCTCCTCTTGGCGCCGCCGCCACCAAAGACGACGACGAGCCGCAGCGCCGCCTCCCCCGCTTCCCGGAGGACCGCACGTGTGAGCCCAGCCAAGAGCGCCTTCAAGACGTGAGTACATTCATCCGTACGTCCCACTTGGCTTTTCCTCCACACCGTCTTCTCGTTCTTCCTCGTCGGATCCGCGCGAACCGCCTGAATTCAGCAGCGATAGCGGCGACGACGGTCCCCACGATAGAGACGGCAGTGACTCGTGCGATTGAGAACCGCTAGTGGTCGGTCGGTCGGTCGGTCGGTCGGTTGGTTAGGCGCGCGCGCACGCACACGCACACGCACGCACACGCACACGCACACACTTTCTCTCTCACTCGTTCTTATTGACTCGAGACACGTTCACGTAGTCGCTCAGAAGATGCTTCGGACGGTTTGTCGCACCTCCTCGTGCGATTCGTTAATCTTTTGCTGGCTCCCGAGGAGTGCTGCGTCCCCAGGCGGGAGTGCGTTTCACGGCGGTGGCGCTGCGGAGGGGGAAGACCCGAAAGTCAGAAGCGTCCTTGACTCGAGTCCGTTCGTCGAGTGTCGCTTCGAAGCGACGCCGCGCTGTTTTCGTCTCGAAAATCGAGCGCCTACGACCCACGGTCCAGAGGTTCTCAAACTAAAATTTTTGTCAATACCCCGGCGCGCTTACACCAAAGGGGGGAACACGTTTCTTTGCCGCGCCGCTTCTTTTTCCTTTTTCTTATGCCCGAGTTTCTCCGCTTTTTTCTATCGTTCCGTCCTCCACCTCGTCTATTTCCCGCGATAGTAGTCGCAGGTTACCTACTCTCGCCTCATAGCGATATTGATTTATCCGTTGCACTCTATATACGCTCTTTGTCAGTCCTACCACCTCTTGTTCACTCACTCTCTCGCACCTCTATTCTACTATCTCTCTTGCACCTACTAACTCTACCTCTATCCTACTATCTCTCTTCCTCTTACTACCTACCGCTGTCTCTATCTCTATCTCCATCTCCATCTCCATCTCCACCTCTACCACTGCCGCTACCTCTACCGCTACCACTATCTCTACCTCTACCTCTACCTCTACCGCTATCTCTATCTCTGTCTTGCGTACACGCGCTACATTTTCATTTATGCTTCTTCCGCTTATCCTCTATTCTTTACTCAGCGTTGAATCTTGTACTAATCATTGTCTTGAGTAATTTTATTTTTTTAATTTTCTCGATTCTTTGTGATTAATATTGCGAAATTTTTTTTGTCAAATCATGCAACAAATAATTAAAAATAAGCATAGATCCTTGAATATCATTAGTTTTTATAAATAATGCTTTTAGGTGTCGAACACCGCCAAAAATGAAAAGAATTTTTCTTTTCTTTTTCTTTTAATAATTACAGCTACAAACTCTGTCATTAATAATTTGCCATATATTAATAGTTCTTCTATTTTTGGAAATGAAGATAGACAAGGAAAACAAAAGATATAAATATGCAGATTTAAAGAGAAAAAAAATCAGGACGAGATTTTATTTTCTATTTTTTACCTCATTTTTCTCTTCCTTTAAGACTATTCTTTGCTAGTCAATTACGACTCCTTTTGATGTTTCTGATTTTTAATTCAATTCATACTTTTTTTTTCTATTGCTCTCTTTTCTCTACCTTCTCCCCAGCCCCTCTCACCACTCCTCCTCCACGCTCCGTCCCACTCTCTCGTCTCTGTTTCTTCTTTCAGCACTTCTCTGTTCCTTACCTCATTTCCGACAACATATATACATGACTTAAAAATACATTGTTTATTTGTATTGTAGATCAAAGCAGATTAACGCTTTTCTAAATATTTTATATATTATTGTTGTTAATAATGAAACTAATTGAAGATTGTTTAAGTTACACTAGTGAGATTACATTTGAAAAATCTTAACACGCTATTTTTTTATATATTTAATACAAATTAATATATTTTTAATAATTGTAAATTGTTAACAATTACAATAATTAACAAATTTAATACAAATTTTAAATTGTTAACTGAGGTGTTAAAAAATTGTTCATTCCAATTATGTTCTTTTTAACAATATAAAAATTTTTAAAAAGCATAAAATACATTGATGTTTGCAAAAAAATTAAATAAATTATTGTTTTTTTGTTTATTGATTACATATACATGTATATGGAATAAATAGAAATTTTAACATAATATTAAAATTATTAAATAATTAAATTTATTGTAAGGAACGTATAAAATTTCAAAATTGCAAATGAATATAATAAACAATATTTCCTTGTGAAAATCATCTTGCATGTTGAAAAAAGTTGATCAGTCATAAATAAGGAATTAAATGGTTTGTTTGTGTTTGTATTTATGTTTACGCGAGAGCACGCGATGTGTAAAAGTGGCAGAAACAAAAAAATATATCCAACGGTGTTGATTTAAGATCAAATAGCAACGCTTTTTTTATATTACATTTCTCACTAGTTTTAATTTGTTCAACGAATCAACAATTAAGAAAGAAGAGAGCATAAATGAAAGTGCCAAAAGGGGCAATTAATACCTACTAATCCTCTTTGTCAGTCGACAAATGTACCATACCGTGGTTCTTACAAATAGTGTATGGTGCACTCGTATCCATACTTGCAAGACACAAGTTTACAATAATCGATGGATGACTTAGTTGCTACCTATTTCCGTCCCTATATAGGGCGCTCCATGAGCCCTCTTGATTTGTCCTTCTGGAACCTTCTGAAGCTATTCGTGTCATTTATAGGTTAACACTAATATCTATAGGTCAACACTAGTACCATTATTACTTTTACTATTATGAATAAATCGTTATCTTTGTGCTTTTCCATGTCTTAGTTTCGTTTGACCTTCTAGTTTTTTTTTTGCTTTTGCGAATGATAAAAAAATAAGAGCAACAATTTCAGGACTTGGATTATGTAACGAATTTTGTAGAATGAGGGGCAGTATAAATTGGTAATCAGTCAGGTATAGAGGGCTTTTAATCAATCGAAGCAAAACTTTACGATCTATTTATGTTCATTTCCGTTGACTGATATAAATATTTTTTACTACATACTATTCATAAATTACTATAAATTTAATTAGTAAGTAAATTGAATTAAATTAAAATAAATGTAATCCGGTATTACATAGTAAAGTATAAATCATTTTTTAATCAGTTTTTCAAGAAGTTGTAATTATTTGTATTGTTAACAAATAATTAATAAATTCATTTTAACAAAATCTTGAGTTTATATGTAATATAAACAAAGTAGAATAAATAAATTTAATATAACCATAGGAATAAAAGATGAGTAACTAGTGAAGCGAAAGAAGCTAGAGATAGATGGCGAATAGAATGTGGCGTTACAAGTGGATGAGGTTACAGGGGGGGGGGAGTTGCTATGAAGACATCTAGTTCCACCATGCGAAACAATGTGGTAAACTCAAAGCTGTTTAATTAAGTAAACATCCCCAGAGACGAATGCGACTGACGGGTTGACTTCGCGAATGACTCGTGTATCCCTCCTTCTAGATAACCGCATTTATGCTCTGCTTCACACACGTAGCAGCTTGCAAAGCTGGAGAAAAGAAGGTTGTAAGCTCGAAAGGGACTGCTGCAACTTTTTGCTAATTCGATCGATCCCCCCCCCTTCACTGTCACCCTCCTTCGCCTAGTCCACCATGCATTCTCGTTTATGTGTAAAAATGGAAAAAGGAAGGGAAAATAATGCTATTGTAGATACTGGCTCGCACTTTAAATAGTGTTGCGTGCGATCAATACAGTTGCAAAGTCGTTAACTGACTCAGTCTCACACTGTAGGTCAGTTTTCTGCCAAAGTTTCACGAACTACTACGATTGAATTCCTATTTGATTGCTATGCTGCTTTCAAAATAGTTCACTTCCCTCTTTCTCAAATGCGTCAGGGCGCACACGCGCACGCACACGCACACACATGCACACACGTAGGCGCGCGCATGCACACTATCCCTCATTCTATCCGCGCGCGCGTTAGTTACGTATATTTGTATAAAGTTTTTCGGTAGCACTAGCCCCCGTAAATACTTATTGATGTACTTAAGAAATCTAAATACTATTTTTTTTAAAAATTAAAATTTTATAAACTAGATAAACCTTTATCTATTTTATCTATTATATAGATTAGCCTTGATGTTTAATAACTAATATTAATAATTTATGTATAATTTTCCGAAACATACAAGCATCACATACTAAAACAATTTTTTAAAACAAGTTTTTAAAATTTGTTATTATGGTATTATGTATAAAAAAAAAATTAAGCTGCATTAGAATACTTTCCTTCTAATAAATCGAATTTTTGATGAACGGAGAAAATTAATTTTTTTAAAAATTAATAATACGTTTTATATTTATATGTAAATACTTAATAGTTGAATAATATTTCATTAGATTTCATTTAATGTATTTGTGGAGTAGATTGAAAAATATTAAATTATTAAATTGAATAACATATTTACCGATACTTTTCGTTAGTGCTTAATAATAATTCATTTGAATTACATTATTTAAATATTTTAGTGGTTTACTAAGTATGAATGGCTCGTTTGATTGGACCAAAAGTTCCGCATTTTTCATTTTAAACATATTTTAAAATCTTTAATAGATTTATAATGTGTACTCAACTTAATTGTCAATTTTTAGAAATAAAATACTTAAAAATTATTTTTAGTATTTTTAGTAATTTTCAAATATCATTAGAACTAAACAAATTCGTAGCAAATTTTTATCTTAATTTATTAAATAACATTATATTAGCATTCTTGTGTTTAATTAATTCAGTAATTAAACAAAATCTATATCGCTAATTATATAATTTTAAATATATTGAACAAAATTTTGTTTTTAGAGTTTTACGCATTCAAATTTTCAATTATTCAATTAATTTTTCTACGTTTATACATTTATTTCATAATTTGCTTATGCTAAATAATAAATGATTACATAATAACATTGAATAACATTCTATTCCTTCCTTTTGTATCGTAATGAAAATTCTAACATAATATTCTGAACATAAAAAGCAAATGTTAAGAAGAATTTAATGTGCTAAGATACTGAAGTATAAAGTGAAATTTCATTTATCAATGGGCAAAGAGCTTACTTATGTGTCAAAATTATTGCTGATAAAGGTTTTTTAATTTTACGTGTTATTTTGTCCTACTTACATGTTATTTTCTATTTATTTCACAATGAGACAGAGAAAAGAAAACTAACAAAGGAAACGTTTATTATGAAAAAAATGAGAATAACTTAAACGGAAGAATAAACTTTATCAACGAAAGTTCATGTAGTCGTAACGTAAGCGAGAATTTTTCTCGAAAGCCACTATGTAGATTTACACATCTTCAGCCCTTCGAGAGTCCATGAAATTCCCTTTAAGCGCATCTAAAAAACTTTATACGTCTTGACAAAGAACATCCAAAAACGAACGTACGAAGCTGCCTTGGCCCACAGCGCTAAAAATGCGTGACAGCCTCATCTGTAAGATGGCGTAGCTCTTTCAAGTACATACAAACATTGAATGCGCAGGTAAAGGCGAGAGGGTGGTGAAGCAGGTATAGGGATCGAATCTCTCGGGGGCAAAACCTAGGACGAAAGAATCGGAGGAGGAGGCGCACCCATCACGTTGTTTCACGAAAAGCGACGAGGTGGCGCCTCCGAAGCTGTTCGCGAGATGGAGACCAGCGGCACTGGAATTGGTCGACTTGACTGCTACGAGGATATGTTCAAGGAAATCACAAGGAAACTTTACGGCGAGGATCCTGATCACAGAAGTAAGAAGTTTTCATGTTCACATTGATAGGTGTATGCTTTATTTTTTCACTATTCTTTTATTTTAATAGGAGTCTTTTATGATCCTTGATTTAATTAATTTAATGAGTGTAGTAAGTATCTCAGCTGACAGCTGGGAAAAGTTTGCATTGTCGTATAAGTAATTCGACTGTAATGATGGAATTTGAGCTCGTGTTGTTAAGCGAAAAATCGTTTTACCCCCATTTTAGAGAAATTAATATATCGTAGCTACTTCGAAATTATATTTATTACGCTTTTTTCACTCCTCTAATAGGCGAATGCGTTGTTACACAAATTAACTTTCCTCACAAATTAAATAAATATGATAAAAATAAGTTACGATTTATAAAAAAATATTTTTACAATTCGATAAGATAGATTACAAATCTTCTCATATTAGTAATAATCTTTTCAAAACCGTGTCCATTGTATGCGAGTACAACCGGAGCCTTAAAAAATTAGTTTTTCTACAATATTTTACTTTAAAACTATTATATAAATTGATGTCTAAATTATTTTATTTTATATTGCGGGAATTTGGTTTTTGTTGCAAAATACAATGTCTTTTGAACAATTTTATTCGATAAAAAATATAACACATGAAGACAGTGCAATATTTTTATGTAAATTTAATATTAAATAACAGAAGTAATGATTTTTACATTGTATTATGCAATTACAATGTAAAATATATTTTAGCTGAATTTTTGTATTGCACAATAATATTCTTTATTGAATTTAATAAAAATCCATCGCGTAATTGGGATACATAAATCATCTACTTCAAAACAAATTTAATATGTTTTTCTGCATAAAGAAATTATAAAAAATGTCAAAACATTCGGTGAAATTATAAGAAAAATTCATAATGACACATCTCTAATGGGCTTCTATAATATCTTTTTTAATGTACTTACTATAATTGCTTGACATCGATACTTAGGATTGATTGTTATGTTAAATAATGACAAAAATATCCAAGTACAAGTTTTAGAAACATAGGTAAATTGCAACTATTAATGGTATATTTATTGTGGGAGGGAGGGGAGCGGGGTTTAATGATAGATTGCATGTTATTAATCTAAAAGTATATGGACAATTATGGATATTACATTGTAAGAACATCGATAAAAATTAAATTCCATATTAAATAAATTATATTTTCAATGTCTCTATAAACAGTATAACATAATTGAATTTTATATAAATTTTTAATGTAAATTAAAATATATTAATAGTATTTCAAGTATAAGTGAGTATTTATTTTCCTACTTTGTTCGAGTATATATTTGGTTGGAATTAGATTGAAAACATTTGCTTGCATTAAATATTGCATAAAATGTAATTATAAATATTATTTAAAACAAAATTAATTAATAAATTGAAAATCACTCATTTTTAATTTTACGATAAATATTTAACTTTTTATATGTACATATAAATATTATTGTGTATTGTAACTATTTTGAATCAAGATTAATAATATACAAACTTATCTAATGCAATTGAGTGTGATTGTCAGTTGTATAATATTCAAACTAATACTGCAATTGCAAATGTATTTATTTTTAAGTAATATTTGTTCTTAATAAATTAAATATTAATGAAAGATTATTATTAATTGTATGATTTGTATATATGATAATGTATATTTTACACATTTCTTGTATTTACCGTTTTTTCTGGTTAGATAATTCAGCAACCAATGCAAAATCGAAATGAATATAAAAATTTATAATTATTATTCGTTGATGGTGTAGAAAAGGAATATTTATTGAATTCTAACGTCAAATTAAAATTCAAGTGAAAGACAATAATTTGTTATTCTCTTGTATTTCTTATAGGCGTTTTATGTTGCATTGAATGTATTAAATACTAAATATATTTTTTCTATTTTTCGTAAATATTTCATTTGCCAATCACTTTAGCATAGCGAAATATAAGCATTTTGAATAATGAGCTGATATTTTTGAAAAAAATTACTTAAAAATTTCTTCACTTTCTAAATCGTACGAACGCATAGTAATAATTGAATATTTAAACGTAATGAAAACTACTAGCATCATTTTTAAAAATATAATCATTAAATAGATTGCTTCGTTCTAATCGTATACAAGGAGTGTAATGGTATTATTGAAATAGCAAATAGCTACAATGTAGATATTTTGAAGAATATTAATTAGAATTATTTTTAATTACATTTGATTACAATGTAAATTTATTGTTTGCTTTAATTTTTTCATATACATATTCATGGATTCAATTTTGTAAGATAGTCTTTAGAAATAATACATAATAACGAGATATCAAACAACGTTAGACGATATTTAATAATATTACGTTTATAAGTTTTTATACAGTTTTTTGATTAATAGACATATTTATAAATAGCAGTTGCTATAATGTTTATTATTTATGAATTTTTTCGCTACTTAATCATAATACTTAATTATACAGGCTCAATAAAATTATTTTCTATTTTCAAGCAAAATTTTAAAGTTATTAAATAACTAATTTTTTTCAATTAATTGTACGAATGATTGATTTTAATTTGGAATCAAATAAATTTCGAAATATATTTAAAATAATAAAAATATAGAATTATAAAAAGTAGAATCATCAAGAGAAGTTTGAAATAATTGAATAAATTCTGCTAATCTATGCGATAATTGTAAAAATAAGAGAATCTTAATTAAATTTATCTCTATATGTATTACAATAGCTTTAGTATAACTAAAGTGGATTGAGAAAACAAACAACAGATAAAGAGAGAATATCTTAGTTATGGCTAATTCCATTCAACGCAACGTTCGAGTTGGTTCTACAGACTACCAATTTAGGGTCTAATGAATTGAACCTATAGAGTGCAATACATGACTGGTAATGTGTATATAATAGTACAAAATTTATCATCTACACTATGGTTCCACGTAGCTAATTTGTGAGAGAGCAAGTGAGATAGCGAGTGAAAAAAGTGAGTGAGAGAGAATAGGGAATGTATGGGATTAGTTTGACCTGCTATGTAATCCATGGCCAAATGCATTGATAAACCTAATCGATTGTCACGTAGTTTTATATCTGTAGATATAATTAAACATGCACACGAAATCACATTTGCTATGTTCCCCATGTACAGTTGCCTTAGTCTGTTGGTTTGACGATGTCAAGTCATTGTTAGAAATTATATATAAGAAACTGTCATATATATATATATATATATATATATATATATATATAATGAAAGATAGATAGATAGATGTGAGAGAGAGAGAGAGAGAGAGAGAGTGTGTGTGTGAGTGAGAGAGTGAGTGAGTGAGTAAGAGTAAAAAGGCGAGAAAGTTAGAAAAAAAATGTCAGATAGACAGAAAGACTGAACGAACGTATACGAGAGAGAGAGAGAGAGAGAGAGAGAGAGAGAGAGAGTGAGTGAGTGAGTGAGTGAGTGAGTGAGTGAGCGTAAAAGTTGGCGAGAAGAGTGAAACAGGTGAATTGAATCGGCTAATTGCAGTATGAGGCAATTAGTCGAGTCTGTTAGCTCTCTAACGACAATATCCGTTCCTTACGGTTGTACACGACTAAGTGCTATATTAATTAGAAATGTAGCAGAGAATTTCATTCCATACTTTAAAGTTCTGCCGCATAAAATGCTGTGGTATCAGTTAGACTTGAATCTTCTGAATGGGTTTTCTCGTTGAGTTATTTTTGTTCAATTACAGAAAATCAAATTTTGATAGAGACTAATTTGCTTTTGTTTCACGGTTGTAATATAAGCGTAATCTTTCGGAATACACATTATTTTTTGTTCGTGGATAGTATCCGCTTGAAATGTAACAGTTTCATTTAAATAAATTTAAACGAAAGATTTCGTATTTCTGTCAAAAGTAGTTTTATTTTAATAATTAGTCTTAGGATTAATTAACCATAGGATATAAAGAAAATTATCGGATATATTTAAAAAATTTGAATAATTATTTAAATAATTTATCATAATTATTAGAACAGTTTACAAAGAATATTTAAGTCGAAGAATGTATCGATATTTCTAATTAAACTCATTAAATCTTTTTAAAGATGTGAATAAATTTTATATTTAAGCAAATATGAACTTTTAAATCTTTCTACGAGTTTCATTAAATACCCTCATGGTAAGCTAGTGTGCGTGTGCCTGCGTGCTTATACGCGTGTTTGAGCTTGTGTGTGTACGTGCGTGCATTGATGGGTTATTTCATTATGAAAATATCGAAACTTTATCGATTAAATTCTAGTGCCGAACCAAGGCACCGAAGATCTTTAATGTTTAATTGTTTATGTAGAGCAAAAAGGAAGAATAGAGTTTATCGTACAGGATGAGACAGACAGACAGACAGATAGATAGATAGATAGATAGATAGATAGATAGATAGATAGATAGATAGATGTGATGGGGGATAGAGGGTTGTGGTGGGCGGGTGGGTGGGGTTGGGGGTCCGTTTAGAACGAAACAGCAGTATTATTTAGGCTATCTTTGTAATGTAAAAAAAGAAGTCGAGCAGGTCGAGGCTTGATTTTATAGTCCTGTGCTGACTGTTTAAAGATGCATTGATTGACCGGGAAATTAAAGATGATTATTTTGCGTGCTGTGCCTCTGTGCATAGCGTCGAGCGTGCAGAACGAGTTCGAGACGTCGGTGTCGTACAAGAACGACGAGGACACGGGCAATGGTACGGACGGTAGCGATGACGGCAACTGGACCTTAGACGACGAGCCGCTCAAGGGCACCGAAGGCAGTCGTATCGCTGCCTATCGAGCGGCTACTTCCACCTGGCGATGCTACGAGTGCGGTAAGAGCTGCTCTCTGTGCAAGTCTTAGAAACGGGGAAACAACCAGCCTCATCTTATTTGTTGTATCGCTTATTTAACCGATATTCTTTTTCTTTTTATCGTTTGGCCATGCACGCGCACACACACGAGCATCGCTTCACGTGTATCGCGCGCGAATACCTTGGATTATCCTGCGTTCGATTGGCAAATGACCAATGATTGCGGCTCTTTACGAAACTGCCTTTTATCGGCATTTTCAAGAGTCCTCGTGATGGGAGGACATTTATATTTTCATTTTCGTTTGTCCGATCTATTATTTTATTACACTGAAAGCTTTTTACAATTGTATTATTTTATCGTATGTTTTATCGACAAATATTCTTATTTGCTGTGCATTTACTTTCAGCACCTATTTATTTCATTGGTCTGAGAAAAAGACGAAGAAGGGGGAGGGTCTATTATACTTAGTTGTGTACTACCACAGTGTGTCTGTCTTACATGCGTTACAAAAAAAATATTTATCAGTTTCACGGATATGTGGCTGTCGCTTCGAGTCACTTGTACATAATAATAATTCACAAAATTAGTTTGATTGAAGAATGATTCCCGCATTAAAAACAATATATTGCATGGTTCGTATTTAAGCCTCATGGTAATTTAAAGTAATACCAAACATGTCACTAAAGAGAGAACTCTATAACTGACGTATAACGGCTCATTTATTGTAAGTCTCATCATCCCCTTGAAAATTGTAAATCAATGCTTGGTTTGTATCAAGCTTGCAGCAGCTTATTTATAAATAAGAAATCTAGTAGTTAATCGGTACGCTGGATTATGATTATGAGTATGATGCGATTATACATTAGCTAGATCTCATTAGTTACATGGAGTTGGTAAAAAGTACCAGAGTTATACAAATTGTTAATTAGACAATGACTCGTGCAATTGAAGAGCGTTTTCCAGAAATGCTAACACCCTAGGTCTCACTACCAAACGATAAAAAGATTTATTGCTTTGCTTTCCGATGGGCATATAATGTCATGTCGCGCATCCCGATTCATTAAATATAATAGATAATAAGACTAATGGAAATCACTCTTCAGCCCCTTTAAGCATAAGCATGTGAAATTGGTCGAGCATTGAAGCTCGTAGGAAAGTAAGCTATAAGTAAGGGGGTTTGCTTGACTGTGTGCGTAGGCGATTGTATGAGCAGTGGTCCTCGAGAGGTAGCCGAGCACTTCGTTGAGTTGCACTCGTCGCGCGTTGGCGGCGAAGAGAGTAGTCGTGGCCGGCTGCATTCCAGCCGTAAGGATTACCTCGGCGCGGGGGAGCTGAAGCTCGAGGAGGTCGTCTCGTATCTGGAAAGAGTAAGGGACCGTGCAGAGCGGTCGGCCCCACCCACTCGACGCACCCAAGAGACCCAAACTATCCCAGCCGCTCTATTGCCCGTCACTTCTACTTTTTTGCTGCAGGAGTTACCGTCAACGCCACCCCAGCACTTGCATCAGGTAAGGGACCAATAACCAATTACCCCGAGCACCTTCCTTCACAATCTGTCGCGATACTTCTAAATCTTTACTCACGACTATTCTTTACCAATCTATCCAATGTTTTTTAATCCTATTTAATCGAAAATCAAATGTTAATCGCTCTTTGAAGCTTAAAATTCAAGACAAACAAACATTCAAGACAACAAAACAATAAATATAATTTAATTTTTTATTTTATTTTACTGGTCGCGCTTTTTACTCACTAATTGGCATACAAATCAGTAATATTAAATTGCCATCCATCTATTGCTATTTTGCAAATATTTATCGTATTTCATAGTGCATAATTAATGTTTTAATAACGTGTACGTAATATAAAAATAAGAAAAAAAAGAAAAGAATGAGATAGAAAATACGGCTTCTTGTAATTATTCTAGTATAACAAATGTATTAAATATATTATATTCATCTAATTTCGCGAAAGGTATTAATGTAATGTTCTACTGTTACTTGTAACGCGTTCTATTGAATGATATTATTATTTTATTAAAATATTATTAAATTTATTGAATTGTATTAAAATATAACAGAACTTGTATGTATATATCAATAATTTTAAACTAATTCGAACAATGTTCGTGCCTTGCATTTCAATAATATTATTAACCGAATTTGTATCTTGTCAATTTTTAAATTGTACATTGACTTTAATACTGTAAATATAATGCAGTTAACTAATTCATGAACCATTGACGAAAATTAAATTAATTTATTTAATGAGCATATTTAATAAATGCAATTTATATTACCAACCAATTACTGCATTAAGTTTGATATTCATAAGGCAATTTTATATAACTTTAAACAAAAATTATAATATTTCCATTATTACGATTACTTTTTTTTTACATTCATTTAAATGGAATATTTTTTAGTAAATTCTGTCTCAATTAATTGAAGATTATTTGTTATGATATATTACCTTATAATTTTGATGAAAAAAAGAAAAGAAAAAAAAAGAATTATCTCTATAAAACGTATATAATTTGTGAATACAGAATTATTCGCAAATATCTCGTTTGAATTTTGTTTTAATCGATGATTGTAAATTATAGATAATTTAATTGTAGAATATTGGCTAATTAAATTCAAACGACAATGGATTGATGCAACGTTAAAGCAAAAATTATTTAATAAAAAAAAAGTATAAATTATTTTTAAAGGGAATATGAGAAATTGCGTCGAAAAGGAAAAATCTAACACAAATTGAAGGAACTTAGCTTTGGTAAATTAAAGTATTTATCATTATCGATGATTTAGAAAATTTATTAATGTGTTAATTCTCTTTGCTTGCGTTCACTTTGCGTCGCGTATATTTATGGCAATATATTGTATTGATTTTTTATTTTGTTTTTGGTATTCTCAAGATAGTACAAGATATTTAGTAATTTTTAAATTACTACAAAAATTGACAAAAATTTATTTCATCGAATTCGATTGTATTAAAAAAAAAATTCTTAGAAAATAACTTTATGTTTGATAAGCTTTTGTAATTTATGTTATAATGATGCTATTAATATAGATAATAACGATAATGTCGATCAACAGTTTGTTGTTTAAAATTGTTATGTAAGCGTGTCGAATTAGTTAAACGGAATTTGTTCGCTAAATTAACGCGATAAGTGTACGGATTGACTATTCTTCAACTGACTGACAAAATCATTCTTTAATAAAGTTTTTATGTCATGTAAAGCTTGCCGTTGACTCGATTGCACGTGAGAAAGGCAAAGTAAAACACGGAGTTAAAAAGATCCGCATAGAAGGTTGCGAAAGTATAATAGACTCGCTTGGTTCTCACTTTCCAAGCCAACTTTCTGACGCGATTCAAAGTCAAAGGTAGTTGATACCTTTTCACGGACATGTAAACGAGCTCGTTTTTCTGGCAATTAAAATAGCAAAAATGTAATTTTTCTGGATGCCCGTAATGGGCAAAAGATATAAGAATTTTACGCGGACAGGGACTTGTGGATGAATGTCACGCAAGAGCATTCGAGTTGTTCGAGCGTGTAGGGTTGGCGGTCGTGCGTGGGGGTTTGGAGGAGGGTTGGCTGGGTTCGACTGGTGGAGGGAGGGGGAGGGGGTGTAGCGTCGTATTATTCCAAATGCGCCAACGACCTTCTCAAAGATTTCCCCGGTGCCTATGATTTCCCACGAGCCATTTTCCCGAACGAATGTTTGCGCGCTCTCGAGCTACGGGAGCTGAAACACTCACACTTTTCATTGTCCTTCGGTATTGTCCGGTAATGTGCAACAGAGTTCAGCCGCGATGCCAGGGAACCTCGGCGCATCGACGAATGCCGCCGGAGGTGGTGCTGGAGGAGCCAACAGTGCTAGCGGCAAAAGATACACGTGCCTCTATTGTCCCTACGGCACGGACAGACGAGACCTCTACACCCGTCACGAGAACATTCACCGCGAAGAGAAGCCTTTTCATTGCTACGTGTGCTATAAGCCCTTTAGCCGAGCCGATCACGTGAAGAAACATTTTTTGCGGATGCACAGGTATTGCGGCAAATTTCCATCTCCTTCTCTTCATTATCTGATTAATCGAACGATTACGTTTACCTCAATTCCATCCATTATAATGACTTTTCGCTTATGCGGTGTTCGATGATTTTTGAGCTTTGCGTAGACAATCATTTGTCTATTTGTCCCTCTTATAAGCCAAAGTAATGTTGTCATTTTCTTTTCATTGCCAAACGAGTACGATAATAACGAATAAAAACATTAACATAATAATAAGATAAATGATAGTAGAGATACTTTGATGTACGATTCGCAACGCGCGTAAGCCGTAAGATAATTTCAGCCGCTCTACTTAGTAATTGTCCTAATTGCAATATGAGCTTTTTATCGTGAGCGAGATTTCGATAAATAGGATAGATTTCAAAATTGCGATAGAATTAATCGACAAGTACGAACAATCGTCGCGATTTTATCGAACAAGATTCGTGAGTTCAATTAAAGCGAAAGCACGCGAATAGAAAGATTGAGCGAAGCTTGAGATGAGAGCTAAATGGCTGGCTGTGTTTATGTGTTATAAAAGTCGCTTATGTTCGGCACAACGATAGAATCACTCGTCCATTCCAATGCAACGTCCCAATCATGTACACATAAATCTTGACTTTTAAAAGGGAGCACACGTACGAGCTATCTCGAATACGACGACCCGTGGGATCGATTTCTTCTGCAGCTAAGGTGTCCGCGAGTCTCCAATCGACAGAGCCCAACGGTAGCAACGCCGGCAACAATAATAACGTCGGCCCTTACCCCACCGGATCCCTATACTCTAACGCGAAGCAACAGCAGCAGCATCAGCAACATCAGCAACAATCCGATATCGCGGCGACGTCGAGTTATCAATTGCAGGCCCCGACTACGTCGGCGGCTCTCTACCAAGCTGCTTCACTATCCTCGGCTGTAGTCGCGGCGGCAGCGGCGGCCGCCAACGTCGGTGGTATGATGCAGCAGCCGGAAGCCAACTGCGGGGCCGCGGCACCCGTCACCGCCGTCCACAGTGCCGTTCACAACGCAGTGCACAACGCCGTAGCGCAGGCTGCCCGCAGAATACAGAATGGCGCGTGCAGCGGCAAAAGCAGCCACTTCAAGAGTGGCAGCGCTGGCTCATCCAAGGCTAACCAAGAGCGCAGGTGAGCCACGGAGAATTTTATTTTAAAATTATTTTTTTCCCATTACGAGGGCTCTACGATTCCCCACTACTTCGAACCTTCGAACAATCCCTTTCCTTTAACGGTGAAATCGAGCCTTTCCCAAAAGCGATTTTCCTGCAAAACGATATTTAAAAGCTCGATCCTCCAATTAGGCAATGAGTCGTGTAATAAACGTTGGACAGGAACGAGAAACGCTTTATTAGACAGCCGTTTCATGATTAGCTGCGCAATATCATTTATCATTTGTATTTATAATGTTTTAATAGTATAGTAGAATATGTGAGTACATATCTAGTGACAACGTTACGTTCTAAATGAAGCTACTATCGCGATATGTGTTTCTTCTCCCCAGGTACACGTGCTGTTACTGCTCGTGGAGTGGCGTTGACAACTGGTGTTTGAAAAGACATCTCAACACGCATCTAAAGCCGTTCGCGTGCGCATTGTGTGAATATAAGGCGGCGCGAGCCGAGCGACTCGCTACCCACGTTCTCAAGGTTCATAATCGTCGGCAGTGCTCGCGCTGCTCCTTTTTAGCTGAAGATCTCGCGCAGCTGCAAGTGCATCAGCTCCATGTACATCGGGTAAGCAATGCAAACGCTGCCGCCGCCGCCGCCGCCGCCGCAGCCGCTACGGCCCACCAACAAGGGTCCGCTGTTCAGCAACAACAACAACAGCAGCACCAACAGCAATCGCAAACCCAAAACAACGGCGAACGACAGCAACCACAGTCGATGCAGTGAGTTTTTCTCGTTTTCCCTTACAGTTCATTATTGTATTGTCAATTGAGCCCAAGTTAACAGCAATATTCACCTCATTTATTCATTAAGGCAATGTCATATAAAATATGTATGGTTTCTTACAATATCGTTGGGAATAAATTATTTTGGAGACTAAATTCTTTCTTCTTTTTTTCTTCTTTTTTTCTTCTTTTTTTTTCTTACAAGATTTTCGTTTCAGATTCTTTTCATTTTTTAACTTTCGAACAGTTTTAATTTAGAAGAGCGTAATTCATTATAAATATGCCTATGATACTGCTTAAATAGTACTTTAAAGTTACTGTTTTTGTAAGTTAAGTTAAGTTAACATAAGAATTGTAATTAAATGAAAAAAAAAATTTTTTTTCCTTAATAATATAATATAAATACAATGATTTTATGATGATTTATAAAAATGTGATTTTAACTTATTTTATGTGCCCGATTGGATATTTGTAATGTCTTAAGTAAATGAATGAATGCTAAATAAAGCTATTGGTTTCATTGAAATGAAATGACATTGATGTTTAAAAAAAAATAAATAACGTTCTTTTTTCTTAAAATATATTTACATAAAAGCTAGAAATAAATAAATAAAGCCATTAGTGTTAATTTATCAAATTTAAAGTACAGAATTAAAAAAGTTATTTTTTATATCAAGTTTGTGTAATAGTTGCATTTTTTCGAATAAATAATTCAATGTCTAAATTATAAATAATTAAAGTTTCAAGGGATGTTTTTCACGAAGGAGCTAAACATTGTTTTATTTATTTAGTTTTTTTTTTTAATTTGGCAGTACATTTACTAAATTTCTTTATATTAAATATTGACGAAAATTAAATTAGTAATGCAAATTTTCGGAATACTGATAAATATTATGGATGATATGTGTGTGAGCGAATGAGAAGTTTTACATTATATTCCGGTTTTACATTATTGGATAAGAACTTTTGACACATTATAAATATATAATAAATAAGTCCACTTCTATTTTTCATGAAAAGAGGATTTGTAAGTCGCTTTTCAGTATCGAGTGATTCATAAGAAAGCAAAACCAATAAATATAAATTTGACCTTTCAGTCCTGTGGGCGGCGGAAGACCACCGCCCGGACCTCCGGTTTTCCCAGCTTCATCAGCAGCAATAGCACCCGCAACAACGGTTATACCGCCGACAACGATTCTCGGGTTAGTTTCGACACTTTATTCAAAGTCAGGATGACGTTCGATCGATCCATCCTCTTAATACACTATTATGTGCAATAATTTGTGTTTTCATCACGAATTACCTTAAAACATCATTGGCTATTTTTATTTTTATTAATGATACATTTTTTTTCTCTTTACATTATACGGTTTTATTATTGTTGTGGATTTTTTGTTGACTTTTGTTGTTCACTTTGTGTCATTGAAGTTTTATTATGTTTTTATTGTATATCGAAAAATTTCCATTATTTTTTTTTTCATTTACAAGTGTACAAATACATTACACGTTTGCTTTATTTATTTTTATAAATACATGCTTGTTTTTAAATTTTTTTGCATTTTCATGTTTCATTTATTCAAATAAATTTGCTTTTGTGCAATTATTCAAGAAAATATCTCGAGAAATGTATTATTTATTTATTTAAAATGGCTGTGCCGATAATAAATGCTTTAAAGAGATTCTATCGGACATGTAATAATTATTTTTGCAAACATTACCTTAATACTGTAGGAATGAGCTGTGCTTTTAAATAGACTTTTAAATACTTAAAAAAGTAGTAGATTAAATTAATTATCGGTTTGATGTAAATATTCATGAAATTTTACATGTTGAAATGATTCATTTATAAATTAACACGCGGATTCAACATTAATATATTGTAATTAAATTTAATAGTAGTTGGCAAATTTTATGAATAAAAGCTAAATAACATATTCTCTGTTCATTTAATTCATGTCAATGTTAAATGCTGTAGCGAACGTTGACCGAGATATTTTTCTGACAAGCGCACGCACGAGCTTAGCTGAAAAAAAGTACAATGTCTGTAATAACGTGTGAAAATAATGGGAATGTAACTTATGAAACGCAGCGCTGCGGTGGTTGCAGCCACGAGGTGGTAAAGCCCTCTGCGACTATGGCGCTTCTGCTGGGGGTTGCATCTGCCAGAAGGGCGGGAGGCTGCACCTAACGCCACATCTAAAGTGTGCAATAAACTGTCGCGCTGGATACGAGACGTACGAAAGCCAACAAAAAGCGTATATTCAAACTATGATAAAACGATGATAAAATAATAAAAACAAACCGATGATGATGATGATGATGATGATGATGATGATGATGATGATGATGATGATGATGAGACGTGACGTGATGAAATAAATCGCATAAACAGAATCTTTAATAAAAATCGCACACTCACTTGCACAGCGATCGCAGCGAAATTGCCTCGATGCCGGGAAACGCATGCTGGGAACAGGAATCCTCCTCCTGCGAGAGTCGGTTTCTCCAGTGCAGCGAGCGTCGCTCTAGAAAGCAGCGGATGCCACGAAAAATCACGACGATGCTCGACAGCAGCAGCAGCAGACCGATAGTCAGTCCGCAGAATGGCCCGGCTAAAACACAGGATGATTCGAAGACTCGGGCACCCGCCAAACGACCGCTGCTTAGGTGTTTCCTTTGTCCTGACGATGCACCAGCTCGAGCCTTACGTACTCGACCTTATCATAATTCACGGTCCATGTTACTGCATAAGCTTTGGCGGCATAAGAAGACGACACTAAACTGGAAGAGTAAGAAGATTTTAGCTGCTGGGGCTTCGATTACTTTGAAGGCGACTCTTTACACTCAACACGCCCTCGAATACCAAAGATAGCACAAGCTGGGGCTCGTTAATGGCTCAATGCTTTTTCCTCTCAACCAAAGTACGTTCGGCCTCATATGCATCAACATATAAATAATGTGCTGAATTAACGAATGTTTTTTCTTCCTCAATTGTTAAATTTACAGTTTAAGCTTTTCCGTTCGACTGTTACATCTATCTTGTCAAGGGAAATTCAATACAACGTAATCGGCGCGTGAAATATTCTACTAATGTCCGTTTGATTAAATTTACATGTGATGAAAGAACAACATAAAATGAAAGACAAATTTTATTTATTGTCGCATGAGAGAGAGATTTTTTGTTTTTTTGTTTTTTTTTGTTTTTTTTTTTGTTTTTTTTTTGTTTTTTTTCTTACTCCTTTCTTTTAAGAATCAGATTTTTTTATACTTTAATTGCTTTTTACGATGTAATTGATAGAAAGAGAACTTAATCATAATTTTTTATGTATTTAGAATATAATGTAAGAATCATATTGACATAAGTATTTTGTAAATATGCGCGTTGTTGTTTATCAACGATGGAAGATTATTTGAATAAAAAATTTCAGTATGAAGTAAAATGTGACTTCTAATTTGAATGTTACACGAATATTAAACATTTTTATTACCGACATCGTTCCGATATATAAATTGAACTATATGTAAAATAATAGAAAAATCTACCTCAAACTATTATCTATGAAATATAAAAAGGAATATGTAAATTTATGAAATAGAAATTACTAAGATTTTACTTAGATTGCGAACATTTCAAATATTATACGCTAGCACTTAATAAGTTACTTTAGAAAGTTTTTAATTTTTGAATATTATTTGTATGAAATTGATTCTAAGCTGTACTATATGTTTCAAACATAAAATATGTAATATTTATAATTCTTCTTTATGTAAATTAAATAATTAAATGTAAGTTTTTCTAAAAAAAAAAAAAAAAATTAATTATTTTAATATTTATAAATTCAAACAATATCTTACTCCGTAAATTTGCTTAATGTCAAAATCAAACCAAGGACAGAGCAAAATTATTAACAAATGATATGAAATAAAACTGGTCCCCATTATTAAAGCATAAAAAAATAATAATATATGGCTTTATTTAAAGGTAATCGTAATAAGCACTCTTTGATCACACAAATCGACATCCATGCTGAAGAACGAATTGAAATTTGCAAGTTGAAATTAAAGCTTTGAGAATATAAAGTAATTAAAAAAAAGACAGTGAAGCTTAGACGTTATACTTCAGATTTGCTTCCTTCGTGTTTGTGAAGAATTTCGTTCGGCGGGCTGTTGCTTTATTCATAATCAATTAGTAACGGCTTTCATTTACTCGAGTAAAACAGAAGAGCCCAATCTCGAAAGCAGTGCTGTCAGAAAGAAAAGTTCAATCGATATGTGCACACTGGCATGTATTACGTTCGCAAGAATCTTTTGTTTGCTTGTGTATCATCATCGTACATCCTGGGGGCAATCTTCGACGGGTCGCTTTGCAAACTCGGGAGAGCCAATCCTATGCAGCTCGATTAGCTAGCATTAAAAGAAGCCGGAAATGAGACGTGAAACTTTTACACAACCAAGTGAAAAGCATTAGCCTCGGGCGATTTATGAAAAGAAGATTAAAGGAAGCAAGAGACTCCGTGTATATGTAATGAAAAAAACGGCCATTCCTCTCCATATTTGTTAGTCAATCGAGTGTAGCTGCTTGTTTTTGAGGATTCTTAACTTTTTTGCTATGAGTTATGCCGGATAAGCGAACTTTTCTAAATTATTGATTAATGTCATATGAACAAAGATTTTTTTCATTCACTTTCAACTTTACGAAGTCATTACAATTCGTATAGATAATGCACTTGTAATTTTTAATTTAATAATTGTATTTGATTATTTTACTAAAAATGCATTCTTCAAAAACGTTAATAATCTTTATACTTTTTGGATGTTGTCTAATTTTAATACTTCTTAAATATTTACGTATTTACGTTATATAGTTGAACTATTTGAAATATATTCAAGAAATCACTTTATGTTATAAAGTCAATATTTTTGTTTTATCACTTTTACACAAATCACAAATCGACTAAATGTATTTACTCTAATAAACTTTATATATCAAAAGTCATTTTAAACTTGTATTTATTAATTAGTTTTCTATTGTTTTTTGTTTTCGATAAGAAATTTTTATTAAAAATTTGTCGCATCATAGATTATTCTTACTGTTTTATCAACATATAAAATTTAATAATGAGTGATGGAATTAGCGGTATTCCAAAAATTGATATCACTCTCATTGTATATACAGTATAGATGGATGAATTACAATTCGTTTTCAAGAAAGGGGACAATAATTATTACAAATCATTTAGTATTATATATTATTCAAAGTCTTTGTCCTATTAAAATATCTCAAGAAAATTGGTGCATTGCATTTTATAGGAAGTAAGAGACGTCCTCGGATGCTCTATTAAATACCCACGAAAATCCTTCATTTGTCATCATAAAACTTTATGTAAAAATTTATTTTATTTAATATTGTTGTCTGAATCGATATAATTCTATAATTTGGATGAATTTTTTATAGTGATTAAAAATTTTTTTATATTTTTATTACAATCGCAAAGAGTAAAATTAATTTAAATATTGAAGAGGTTAAATAACATAATTATTTTTCAATCTATAGTTATATATTTTATATTTTCTATAGTTTTATTTAAAATTAAAATGTTCTATTATTATTTTAAATATCTGATTATTACGTAATATATATAAAACTCGATAGCCAGCCGAAATTAATCACAACAATTTTATTTTTATGAAGATTAATTTATTTTTATTAAGAATAATCTTATTAAATTATTTCATACACACTGATTAGCATATTAAAATTATATTTAATAAAGAAAAGTATATAAATCTATTTATCAGTATGTGTAACGTATAGAAGGAAAAGTTGAGTAATATTTTTGTCATGAGTTATCTATTATAATTATGATTAAATTATGAGAAAAAGAAAATTGATGTTAGAATACAATTTTAATATTGTGAGATAATAATTTATAAAATTATAATAAAATTATAATTCATTACAGTATATGAAATAAATTTTGAACATATTGCAGTATAAATATTTGTAGTAGAAAAATTAATAATGTACAAAAAATTAAAAATATAATCTATTCTGCCTTTAATTGTTTAATCCACTAATACTAGATTTAGAATTACTAGATTCTATTGGGCAAATAAAAATTAATGTCGCAAAAATGTAAAGAATTTTATACGGATTTTTTATTAGTACAAAATGGCATGATTTTTAATAAAATATTTTAAATTATCTATCTAAGCAATAGTAACTATGATTTTCTTGTTTATGTTATTTGAAAATACTTTGCAAATAAATAATAATAAAATACATTTAAAACAATATTTTCGATTTTATTATTTTACTTTAGATTATGTTATAATTTCATTTTCATAGTTCAAAAGAATACTCTGGTATAGAATATAGTATTAAACATAAATTAACTTATATGAATTTAAAAGAATAAAACATTATTTTTTATAATTCGTGAACTTATAATCTATTTTGATTCTACATGTAGCAAACAAACAGATTCCATGTTAAGTAATTAAATTTTTATACTCTATAAATATTAATTAAATATACTTTCTTAGGTTGAAAGATAAATACGTAGAAACGAAATATTTAACGTTAAAGCAGTTACTAAAAGAATTATAAATGTGAAATATAAAATATTAGTGGGCCCAAAGGTGGTGATTTTCAAGCTTTATGAAAGTGCGCATGAATTTATGTGGCGACGAGTTGAGGAAGAGTGGCGCCAAGGGCCAAATAGAGTCAGTCTCACAATAATCTTTTAAGTATCAAACATCAATATCGAGATACAATTAGAAAGAAAAAAAAGAAGTTTCGTTTGATGTATTTTATTTTTTTCTTTTAAGCCTGAATAATAATTATATATAATAAATTAGAAATTAAGTTAGTGTAACGTGCTTATTCCATTCTCAATGATTCGCGAAATTACGCACAAACATTTTTAATTTTACATCATTAACAATTGTCATTTAAATGTAATAAAATGAAATTTAAATATATTTTTTAAAAAGAATAATAGTATATTGGCGTTTCAGACATCCCGTCGGTCCCGTTGCTGAATATCATCTGCCACAATTACCGACGGAAATGAATTATGACAGCTTTTTCATTATGCTCTGCAATTATTCATTTCTATATAATATTTTGATTCATATGATATTCGTTTTTATTTCCGAATTGAGATAAAAAAAACACGAAACTGGAATGGGCTTTAATATTAATGAAGCTCGCGTTACGTAGTAAGTATACATAATTCATTTAGTAAAATATTGTACAGATTTATATATTAAATGGTTATGTCTGCTGCAATTTTGCATCTAATTAATCTAATCATTCACAATAAATTATATTATAAATTATCACTATTTGTTTAATGCAGTTCAACGACTTTTTGAAGCTTTACCAGAGTCCGAGTTAGAGTTAAAATTGATTCATCCCGCATGATATTTGTTGCAGTTAATAATTAAAAACGAGTTTCACGAGATGGTCAGAAAGCGCCGTTAAAACAAAATTATAGCACTTTATCACGTTGCTCTCCTCGCTTGTTAACTTATATTTGTTTTTTGAAGTCATTGAATGCGCCGCCTCTTGGTCGAAGGGCTGATAAGCGAACGTACACAGAGAGAGAGAGAGAGAGAGAGAGAGAGAGAGAGAGAGAGATACAGCTGGTGTGACCGAAAATTCATAGCGACAAATTGAATAACGAAAAATTGCAAAAATTCAATAACTCATGAAAAATCAAGTATAAGCGAACACTCACGAATTCGCGAGCTGACGATCGAGAAAAGAGTGCTTTTTCTTTCGTTGCTGCGGCTGTCGCCAGCGTCGACACCGACGTCAGTACAGTTTGCCAAAATGTACGCAGTATCATAAAATGCACGAGATTCATGGATCTACTTAGCGACAAGGAAAAAAGTCATTGTATAAATGTAGAAAATGAAGCGAAATAGAGCCACTGATTTTATATAATGCAATGCGAAGTAAAATGAGAGTCGAATGGAATATAAAGCTCTAGGTAAGAGCAACGTCCATTGGAGAACAGCCAGTATTACACTTCAATGCGCAAATTGCTTTAATTACAATTTAACTATGTTCCTTCAATCACTGCAGAATTTCAAGGCATATAGTTCGATTGCATCGGCACTCGCTCATCTCTAAGCAGGAACGTGAACTTGGTG